TGACCTAGAACATGCACTCAACCGTTATATACGAGCTGTTATGGAACTGTGAGTGATCCGTTAGCATTGATGACCAATCAAGCATAAAATAAAGAAAACGAGATCTAAAGGCTCTGATACGGCAGGGGCCTCTGGATTTTCACGTGTACTCAGCAGTTTCATGGCCAATTCCGTCTTTGGGTTTCCAGATGCCCTTACCCAGCAATGGTGATAAGACTGAAAAAATTCTACTTTTTACTCTAAGTCCAACAGATGTACATTCCATGGGTGAGGTGTCTATTCGCATGGCTTGTATATACTCCTGAACTTAAGCAGTTGGGAATTTGTCCAACATTCCAGGGAGCATTGATGAAATGAGTTTGTTTGGATTCAATCCAGAGAATGTTGCTTGACGTGGTTCAAAGATCTCAGTTGCAAACCAGCCACAACAGAGACAGAGATATTATAATTATACCAACTATTCTTTCTTTGTCAAGAAAATCTGACTTACATTTTGATACTGGATTCCAGTTTTACTATTCCTTTGTTCTCCAAGAAATCATTTTGGCATATGCAAATGATTTGGCACTTATGAAGAGAATTTTTTGCCACAGAGCCATAAATGTTCACTTCAGTGGAATCACAGCGAAACATAAATTTAGATTTCCCCCTGTTCTCAGATGATATGCTATGGGAATTCTCAATTCCCCTGATGCAGAACCGGTGAAGAATGACCAGTTAGGAGTAGGCCATGTGCCATCGGAGTGGAAGTGTAGGGTGAGAAACCATCTCCAAGGGGTGAGAAACCCAGTATTGCTTGAATACAGGATGTCGCGTTCATGTCACATGATAGTTTTAAATCCGGAAATCTGATTGGGTTACCCGTTTTCCGAACATGCTGACTCAGCACAACCTAGAATCGGAACTGGGAACGAGACTAATAAGAAGGGGTATATAATAATACGTACGTACGTACGTGTCCCATTGAGCCCCGCCCCCCTATGCGCGTTTGGATCGGACCAGCCCCACCCCATTCTAGAGACCTTCTGCTCTCGTCCACAGACCGGAAAGAATGGCAACTGGTAGGAGATCTCTTCTTATAGTCTGTAGCCTATGTAATGGTCAGCACTTTGCTATCCTACAGCAGGTACTACACCAGACTTCCTAGACAAACGATTGCTGCAAGATGATGTTCCAGAGATAGTTGCAAACATACTGGATGCCCAAACTAAATCAGAGCTGTTAGGTCGTGTACTCAAGTTGTCACCATCCAGGGTGTCTGGAATTCTTATGCAGTACAAGGATCCAGAAGAGTGCCTGTTTCATGTCATTGATGAGTTTGTGAAACAAGTGGACCCCAGACCTACTTGGAGAGTCATTTTAACCGCCCTGAGGCACCCCACTATTCGACTAACTGGTTTGGCAGATGAGATCGAAAGTAAACATTGCCCCCCAACAATATGTGGTATGTATACCTGTCAAAAATGTTGTTGCTTGCTTCCTTACTTTTCAACTATACTGAGGACAATTTTGACAAACAACTCGGGCCAAATATGTTTACTTACACGAGTGTACTTATTTTGTCCCTGATAGTCAGTGTAACTGACTAAAACGTATCTCTCGGTAGCAAAGTGCTGAAAATTTTGTGGATTTTCCATTTGGCAATAAACTAGAGTAGCTCATCAAAGGTCGGACACCATGTATAATCGGACAGGCCTCCAGTTCCTCTGAAACTCCTGGGACCGTCTTTCAAGAAATGCTTCAAGAATTTTCTCCAGAAAATTCTCTCATCGATTCCAGACTCTTCTCTGAGCCTTCTGAAGTTCTTCTTGCCTGTGTATATCTCTGAAATGATAGTGATCACAGTCATACAAGTGTGAGAAACTAGCATGCTCCTATGGCCCTCTAAAAGTATGTCATGCGACATCAGCATAGGGCATACCTCAGAAATGCATTTTTGGCACCTTGATCTGGTAGCTATCATATATAGCCCACACAACACCTAGTACTGTCGTAAAGGTGTAAAATATGTATTGATCATGAATATGTTAACCTTGATTATACTCTGTCTTTTCAGAGTGCGCCACACAACAGTGGCGCTACATCGGCACCACACCATCACGTAAGTATATCACACTGTGTGTCATGTGACTGGATATAATTATCGTTTGTCTGTCCAGATTGGCTGACTTCTTGAAAACCATCTCATAGACTGGAGTCTCCATTTAATCATGTTTCACTAGCTGTGTGTGGTCTGCACCGAGACAGGCTACCCGACTAGTGACTCTGCCACATCAAAGAGTCTGCCATCTGCTGAGTCATTTGGTCGGTCGAGAGAGAAGCATCGCAACATCAGCTGGACTACCTTGACTTGCAACACCTCAGATGTTCAGGTAGTTCACATGTATGGACCGTCCCCTGTTTCCGGTAAATCCCCACCCCTCCTGGCCATGAAAATGGGGAACTATTTATTACGGAAACGGGTCAGGTGTTCATTATGTAGATATTGGGCAAAAATGGTTAAAGATAAAAGATACTCTTGCTAAAGAGTTGTACTCAGTATGTTGAGTCCCGTAAGACTAAGGTACATTCCATTGAGTTGGAGGCAAAAGATACAGAAAACGCAAATATTCTAAAGCCTATAATACTAGACACACTGTGATGTAAATGTTGGAGCATCTCAAAGGAGGAGTTTCTCGGTGCATTAAGTCATTACCTGCTCTGTCCCAAAGAAGTGTGAGGTACCTTATTACTACTAGCCACTGGTAGCTGACATTGGTAACTTTCGACTCCATGTCCATTTACAACCTGTCATCTGACAGCACAGCTACCTCAACGTGTTGGGCCCTGCAGTAACGCTCCTCAGTTAACACAGATGATCAGAAGAGGCAAATAGCCGACTGACAGAAATGTTCCACTAGCACGTGAGTAATTGGAGCCATCTTCAGGTTCCAGATGCTCCTTACACCTACACCCAGAAATGGTGGACAGTGGCCTGAAGGAGATCTTCTTGATACTCTACAAGTCCTACTGAGCTCACTTTCATCACTGTTGATGTGTCAATTTCGCTATGGCTTTTAGTTACGACCTTTCTCCTGACTGAAGCAGTTACGTGTACCCTTGTCCTACATAGTCCAGGGAGTTTTGATGTACCAGTACTAACTGGGCTTGTTTGACTTTAGTCCACAGACATCAGACCGGCCCTTGCCAACCTTGTACAGAGATCTCTTCTGCAATCTCTAGTCGTGGAGACAGAGGATACCATCTTTCATTTCACCACTAATTAAAACATTCTTTCTTAGTCAAGAGAATCGGACTTCATTTCAACAACATTTTGATACTCAGTTTCAGTCTTATTTTACTACCATTCTTCAGAGCATTATTACTGACTATGTGAATGGCTCAAAGCTAACAAGGTTTGATGAGGAAAAACAGAATATTTGGCACATGTTTAGTTTGTTTAAAAGAGCCAAAACCAAGACCGTTACTTTCAATGGCATTAGAACAACATTGCAAGCCATAGAATTGAATGTGTTGCAGTTAAGATTTCTACCTGTGGAAATAAAAAACATCTCTCAAGACCTGCTAGCTGTGCTAGACTCATACACACCCCATGAACAAGCGATGGTAAACTCATTTCTTGATACATATATTAAGGTAGTGGAGCTTGTTGCTAAGCAACAGTGGCCTATACGTCAAGCAGATGCAATCAAAACATTAACCTCAAGGGCGGAAAATGTCACTATGGGTTATAAATTGGGTAAAATAGGAGTTTCCATTTTCACAAAGTTCTACCGTTTGTTGATAGAGTACTATGAAGAGAATGGAGACACTGATGGTTCAGCAAGGTGCCACACACATGTTCTTAAAACCATTCATGGACAACTGAGGCACTGTTACCCAGTCTGTGACTTTTACGATATTTCTATTGCATATGAGAACATACGGAATAGAACAGAGGCATTTCATTTCCGAGAGCTTGCATACCAACATCAGTTTGACTCTTTGCACTTTTTGAAACGAGCAATGCTCCTTATTTTCCTACATGAGGACTATTTACACAATAATGACAGCATTAAAGCAAGTAAAGTATCAGCCATTGTAATGGAGAAAGTGTATCCTAATCTGATGTCGGGCGAATATGAATACACAAAACAACTGTTTTATGTTGTTGTTTACTTTTTCAGAGGACAAAAACAAGAAGCGATTAATCTACAAAAAAGAATGATTGAAAATACACATCCATGCAGTGAAAGTAACTGTGATATCACTGTAGGACAGGGAGAATTGTTCAAAGACTACAAGCATTTGACAGAAGATAGTCTAATGGATAGATGTGAATTTAAATGTGCTATGTACTATGCAGATTTAGCAGAGGAGGCCTACAACAACATGTGTTACTATCTGGCAATATGGTTAGGAGAGCAGAGCTGTGCATACATTGATAAACTTGGAGCGCCCTACACAGTTCTCAAGTTTGGACCAGAATCTATTATTGGTAAAAGCCACTACGAGATGGGGAATAATTATTCTGCAACGCAAATTTTACTCAAACAGGCTCTACAGCACATCAACAGTGCCATCAGATTAAACTACTTCTCTTCTTTAAAGTTGAGAGGAACAAGGATAGAATTATGTGGTTATATCATACTGATGAATTGGGTATGCAATCCACTATTCTACATTTATCTCTTTAAAGACATGTTAGCCATAGTTTTCTGTATTGTGCCAATTTTTTTAACTATAGTGCCTTACTTTTTTTGGGCACCAATGTTTGAGCACAAGGAAAGTATTCCAAGCACAGACACAGGACTGGCTAAACAGTATTCCTTTTTTTGGCCCCAAGTTGATCATTTTATTGTTACGAGCAGTGGATAACCACTGTAAAGCAATGGATGATGACTGTATTCTACTCTCTATTGCTGGTGTTTGGGACTATAATGTTCTATTGTGGATACACTCTGTTACTTCATTATCTTGTAAAATGTATTATCCGTAAAAGAGTTCTATATTCTGTTTTATTTATAGCATTGATTATAATTATCCCTGATTGGATGTAATCATTATCTTGATTTCATATTATTGTCTAGAATAACAAGTTTCTCTGTTCTTCCTCTGAACTCTAACACTAAGTCTGTGAGATGCCACTGACCATCACTGAATACTGCAGTAGACCTCAGTTGACCTGCACTCCTTCTCCCTGACACTGGGATCAGCACCTGTCATGAATGCATGCATGCATAAGCACTGATACACAAAGAGTACATTATTTTTGAGCAGTTGGACTAACAATTCGCATACATAAGATACTAAAGTCACAAAAGCTACCAGAGGTACTGGGAGTAGCTATAATTATAGTAGTGAAAATTCAGGATGACTTGTATGCACATTAGAACGCCCTTTAAGTTTACTAATACAACTTCCATGCATTTCTGTAGACCTACAACGTACATGAGCCTCTTCAGTGGTGACCCAGTTCTGTTGGTTCCCCAGTCTGAGTGTCTGGAATTGCAGGGGCTCACCCAGTAGTCTGCATGCCAACTGGTGCTCTCTGAGAGCCTCTATTGACTGCTGGTAGTACGGAGACCTGGCAAAATTCCCTGGGGACATAATGTATATAATATATGGGTCTAGGTCAGTAGGATCATTGTCTATATAGGAGGTGTAGCTAGCATGTTCATTAGGTCGATGCTTACGTTGAATGAGGTAGTACAGAACTGAACAGCCAGAGGCCGAGAGAACAGCTCCGTAGAGAGCTGCCTTCTTCAAACTCTCCAAGGACACTCGCTGAAGCATATCTGGTAACGAATGAGTGAGTGGGCGCGTTTTATACGGGGCGTGGTGGAATGACGCAATTAGCGAAGATGACGACGGTCAATCACAAAGTACAGTTTACCAGTAAGCTAGCTTAGCTAGGACAGGGAGAAATAATGCCGCTCAAGAACGTGCACTACCAGAAGCTAGAGAGCCGGAGGAGAGCGCTTGGAGAGGACTAGCGTCCCCTCCGTCACACGTCAAACTTCAGGGCACCAACCACGTCAGGGTAAGTCGAGTGGGCGATGGCGACGGTGACCTTTGAATTCTCCTGTTTCACTGTGTACGCTGCATCCTTCGCTCTACGCTGTCTGTAGGTGACACCGATGGAACCACATGAGACAATTTGGACGCGTTTCTGTTGAACGAGTAAGTTCAACACACGGCTCAGAACAGTGTGTGTGTATACAGTGAGAGAGGCATTGTTTAGCCGCTAACGCGTCTTGCAATGGTCGTGTGTGCTACAGGTGTACCGTACCACGCGAAACCCTGGACTGTGGGCCCGTATAACAAAACACTCTCAGACATCAGGAGACGATTGTAGAACACTAGTAAGTGTGTTAACACATCGTATGAGTATACATACAGCTTAGAAAAAAGCGATATACCTGCTGATATTTTCTCTACATCCCTCCCTCCCTCCATCCCGTCCTTGCTCCCTCCCGCTCCCTCCTCCCTCACTCCTGTCCTCACTCTCCGTCCTCCCTCATCACTCCTTCTCTTTCCTCCCTCCCTAAATTATAGCCAATTCCTGTTCATCGTGTGTTTCTCCTGTGTTCATTGTGACGTGTCTGCGGTTCAACGACTGTTTCTGGACAAGATCAACCTACGTCAAGGATACACCACCAACGAGAGAACGTCATGTTTGGAGACTATTCGAACAGACAAGACTACTCCAGTAAGTTCTTAAACTTCCCACAAACCTCACCAGACATATTTCATTCAAATTACACTGCTACGTAATACCTAGCCTATTGGGACGGTTTTTCTTGCCGTCCATGACACTTACAGGAAGATTTGATTACTGAAACTTCCTAGAAAGTATTACTACATTGTACATGAAAGTTCATGAGCTAATGTATGAATTACCACCTTTCTCTGAACTTGCATGATTCCCTCTCATTTCCTACCATTCCTACCATACGCTGTGCCTCTTTGTATATATATAGTACTCTCCTTCTGCTCACTTCTCCTCAAGATTCCCTCTCCTTTACTACTATTGTATGCCACACAAACAGACCGATTCCTTCCTCTTTGTACACGTTGTAGTGTCTGCCTTGCCTCTTTGTATGTACGTACGTAACATGCCCTCCTTCTCCCTCCAGTATGTCGGCACTGCTGGTGTTTGTTCTACTGGTGGCTCTGTCATTCTGGCTGCACAGAGTCTACCTGACAGCCAGACGTTTCCTGCAGTTCTGGGAGATACGGAACTTCTACCACCATGCCCTCGGAATATCCACTGTTAGTGTATATACCCAGTCCTAAACTCTCTCTCTCCCTCCATCCCTCCCTCCATCTCTCCCTCCCTCTCCCTCTCTCTCCATGCATGGACCCCACCACTTTGGGTAGGGATATTCCCACTACAGAAAGTACAGTACAACACTATATTCCATAGTTGGGTGACTGCATTTCATGAATACTGTCTGCCAAATTTATAACAGACTCAAACAAACTGACTCAGCAACTGACATTTTATACATGGTCATGAATATGAGTTGGTATAGTCATCGACATTCCAAGATTTCACGAGGTGGCCTTTCATCCCTCTGCACACTTGTCACACTCTTTACTTGTAGGGAGAAATTGTGTGGCTCACTGACATAGTGTTTTGTTTAAGCGCGCCCTCAGTTATACGTACAATGTAGCATGTAATTGAGCATGCAGAGTACACATGTTGACCAAGTGCGCTATGCTATGCTTCTATAGAAGTAATGCATAAACCAAATCGTACATCCACATTATTTTGCCCCTTGGTAGTCAGAGCGTGCTAACAAAACACTCAACGTCAGGGAGTAAGAATATAGCTACGCGAGACTCCCTCTACCTTCTCCTTCTCGGACTTTCTGTTCTTCTCTCTCCTTCCTCCCTCTTCTAATCTTGTTCTCCATCTCTTCTCCCTCTCCATCTCCCTCCTCTCCCTCCCTCTCCCTCCCTCTCCCTCATCCTCTTCCTCCTCTCCTCCTCATCTCCCTCCTCCTCTCCCTCTCCCTCTCTCTCGTCCTCCCTCTCCCTCTCCCTCCTCCCCCACAGTCTCAGATGCGCAACGTGACATGGGCAGAGATTCTGGTGAGGCTGAAACAAGCCCAGAAAGATCACAAAATGAACATCAGAAAACAGGAACTAACCGAACTGGGTACGTGCATACAGCTCACAGGTACACTGCTCACACTTTTGCTCTAGACTCTTTATAACTGTGTACAGTTGGAATTTTCACGATTCGGTGAAAAACTATAAACTAGATGACTCCTATACCATGTACTGTAGCAGGAACTTTGGACCGATATATATATACGAAAACCTGACTGTAGAAAACTTTCACAATAAGTTTGTCCCTGTCCGCATAATTTGAACTTCAGTTCCCTACTGATGTGGACTTGCCACTGTCTGAGATGCTCATTAGCACTGTTAGGCTCTCATATCTACACCTAGACCTGTAGTTGACTAGAGGTCACCTTTAGTTCTAGTCTCACTCACCATGGGCATGCAGTATCCTCTGTTCACCCTCAACTGCAGATGTGTACCATCGCATCCTGAGGTTCCAGAACTATCTGGTGCCATGATCAACAAGAACATCCTCCCCTGCAAAATACATGTCCCCTTCTATGGAGAGAAGTATGTAAGGATAGGGAGGGAGGGATGGTTACCGTGTGCAGGGTACCATGTAATATCTGGGAGGGAGGATAACCATGTACAGTGGAACTCCTCTAATCCGGATGCCAATGGGACAGGAAAATATGTCATTTTAGTGAAGTTTCCTTGTTTCAGCAATTCTGGGGTAAAATTGCACGGGAGAAACTGGCATTGTTATTAGAGAAGCGTCCTTATTAAGAGGTGTGCTTTCAGAGAGGGGTTCCCACTATTAGCTACATACATATACATACATACATACATACATATGTAGCAGTCAAAGGGATCAGGAGTTAAGGCGATTGTGTGTACACGTACAATAGTTAGCAGGCTGTTTTAGTGACTCGTGTTGTTTGTTTCAGGGTTTTCTTCACACATGGACTAAAGCTCAACTACGAACTTCTGCTCTTCTGTGAGTGCTGTATAGCCAATACATACACATTATATTACACAGTATGCTGAACATATTGTCTCTCTCTCTCTCTGGTGTACAGGGGGACCAGGAGCCCCATTCAGAAACAGTTTCTACCTCCACGAGGACTACAAGTCAGCCTCCAAGAAGTAAGTGTACACACTGAGCCATCATACCATGCATCATCATTTCACTTTTCTGCAGGTATGAACTGATTTCAAAGTGAGTTGTACACGTTCTACCCTGCACGACAGTCACTCTTATCTATTGCACTGCCCCTCTCTCCCCCGTCTCTTCCACAGACTGAGGTTCCGGATAGGGCTGCTGGCTCTGCTGAATCTCCTGTTCTGTCCAGTCATTTTCCTCTACCAAATCCTCTTCTCCTTCTTCCACTATGCCGAGGTATGTGTATGTGTGATGAGTACAGTAGTATACACAAGGCATTATCACATGCCCTGTACATGTAGTACATACACCTGTGGAATTGCCCTTGAACTGACTCTATGTAATACAGTACAATTACTTACTAGTGCAGTTCTCAGTAATGTGTCTGTTGTAGCATGACACACTGCAATGTGTAGTTGTAGTACATACATACGTGAAAGCAACATGAAGTTGTTATCATATGTACATACTCTATATTTCAGATTCTAAAGAGGCATCCAGGCGTTTTTGGCAAGAGAAGATGGTGAGTTTGACATGTGCTTACTAGGAATGACATCATTATGACATCATACTCGTTTGCAAGGTCACTCTATGGCAGATATCATCTCAGAGACTTCAATGAACTGGACCATGAACTGGCACTCAGGTATTAGTTGACCTATATGTACAGTCAATATTCATTGTCATTGTAAGCACCTCCGGAACTGTGAACTATGGACTACAGCTACACATGCAGGAGTCCCTGATGTCTATGAATATCAATACTCAAATCCCCAACAAAAATCCCCAACTAACAATGCGAGGCACTCGTTAGTTTTTCTAATGTGACAATTTATTTTGTCCTGCTTATGAAAATTCCTCTGCTTTTGGGGGGGGTTCACTAAACGGATTTTCCACCTTAACTAGAGCCCAAAGTAAGAAGTATTGCCAGAAACTGCCTGGGTGTCCCTCCTGCTATGCAATCACCAGTGTGGTTATCATTAGTGTGTGTCTGTCTACCCGTCCCAGGTTGAATCGAGCCTACACACCCTCGGTGAAGTACATGGACCTCTTCACCCACCCCATAGTGACCATAGTGGCCCAGAACGTGGCGTTTGTGGCGGGCTCGGTCCTGGCCGTGCTCCTGGTCCTGACTGTCATTCAGGAGGACCTTCTCACCGCTCACAACGTCCTCACATTCATCACTCTTCTTGGTCAGTACCTGTATATACTAGCTAACCCACCTCCTCTCTTCACTAGTTGTGTTTCGTAGCAATTAAAGGAAATGTGTGCAGTAGGTTAATAAGAGCTAATGATGGCAATAGTGCAAGAATGAAATTACATCTTTGAAAAACATGTAAATTGTAACTAATACGGAAGTGCATTCTTGCACCTTTACTAAATGTAGCCCTTGTAACTATACTCTTCGTTATGAAACACAGTGGATATGTGAGTGGTGGTGGGACTGTATGTATGTAGCAATCTAACTGAACTTTCCGCAAATTTCCCAATTCTTATTACATGTGGACGCAATACACAAGTGGGTATACACTTACATGTACTTTATGTTCATAATTATTATGTTCCTACAGGTATTATTGTGACTGCCTGCAGAGTATTCATACCTGATGAGGTTTGTATGTAGGCTTACTGTACACCCAATCATGCATTACATCACATTTTAATGTTAGGTGTGATACGATTATTTGACTAATTACTGTAACCTAGAAAAACGTAAGGTGAGTGGGAGCAGCTCCGAGTAGCTAACACCAGACTTTTTTTTTTTTTGGATTTTCACACTGAACAATTACATCAAAACAACACAGAAACAACACAAAAAGACAAAAGAAAGTCAGACTAGTCCATCAATGGAAGGAGGGAGTGGCTGACTCAAGATTATTCACTGTGCAATAACGCGAGGAAGATTTGTTAGTGCTCTAGGAGGTATAGTAATTTTCCCGAATCTTTCTCTTGTTTAATAAGTTAAGTTATTCCCCCAGTGTCCATACCCCAACCTGCATCTTACACTGTAGTTTCAAACCCCCCCCCCCCCCCCCGAGTTTTGATAAAGTCCTACAACATTTGGTTCTTTCATTCCAGAACCAGGTATGGATCCCTGCGGAACTGATGCACGAGATCCTGGGGGAGATTCACTACATGCCAGACCGGTGGAAGCAGGAGCCACACACCGTGGAGGTGTACAAGGAGTACACTCAGGTCTTCCAGTTCACTCTGGTCAGTCCGGATTGACTCACACTGAATGTGGCCTAGAGAGAGATGTGCTCTAATTTTATTTCGTGGTCTATAAATGTGTAAGATCACTTATGTATGTGCGGTGAAGTTGTGACGTATGAAAATGACTAGCCATTTCAGTCTGTACATGTACATATACCTGTTGAGCCTTGTCCAGGCCTTCTAGGGCTCCATTATTTTGGTGTGCATGAGTTTGCTTCGTGCAGCTTGCTCACCAATTCAGTGCATTGTGTCTCTTAACCATTGTATATAGTGCACAATCTTAGTTGTAGGGTGCATGATAGAGCACTGTATGTATATGTTGCAGTGCCCTGACAGGACAGCATGAGGGCGAATGCTGTCCTGTCTGGGTACTGCTTGGATATGATATGAACCCTGCTTGCACATGTAGGATTGTATAGGCTGATACAATCCCCCAGTACCTAGCTTCATACATGTCGGTTGCCTAGGGATATCCAACAAACAGTGATACACATACGTACACCAGTGATCCCTATAATACACCTGCTACACATGTATGCACATCCTATGCATGGTATTTTCTATACATGTAAATCCCAGATGTACAATGCCCTGTTTTGCCTTTGCCTTGTGTTGTGTTGTGTTGTGTTGTAGATTCGAACCCCTACCAGCTGAGTTGCCCTGGTAGCTCAGTTGGTAGAGTGCTCACCTAGAATACAGAGTGTCGTGGGTCCAAACCTATAGGACAGCTCTTCTTTTCAGAGAAGAGCTGTCCTGGGTGCAGCAGTATATTTGTTTGCTTTGCCTTGCTACCTCATTGTTGTCACATGGTAATGTGCATCCTATGCATGCTGCAGATGTACATCCTGGACGAGATGTTTAGTCCACTGGTGACTCCGTTCATCCTGTACCTCTCCCTGAGGAAGAGGGCTCCTCAGATTGTCGACTTTCTCAGAAACTTCACCATCGACGTGTCTGGAGTTGGAGACGTCTGCTCCTTTGCCGAGATGAACGTCAAGAAACACGGCAACTCTGAGGTGAGATATACTCTACAGTGGAACCTACGAACAGGGGAGGATATGAGGCCAACGCTTTTGTCCGTTGTAGAGAGGTCGTCCCTATCTCGGAGGTCAATAATAATATTACACTAAAGTATTAGCACGGGGTTGAAACAAGTGTCCTTTGTAGAGAGGTTGTCCCTAGCTCAGAGGGCCCCTTATGGGAGGTTCCACTAGTACTAGTATTACATACAAGTCTCTTGTTTGCCTAACTTGTTCACTTACTCTGTGTCACTCTCTCCCTATGTCCAGTGGCTGACTCCAGGGATGACCAGAGCAGGGGACTATGAGAAGGCAGAACTTGGCAAGACTGAGATCTCTCTCGTCCAGTTCTCTGTGAGTTACCTCTCCACCTATCATACATGTCTCAACAACAGTATACAGTGGAACCTCTGAACAAGGGACACTATGGGGCCATTGATTTTGTCCCTTGTAGAGAGGTCGTCCTTATCTCGGAAGTCAAATAATACCCAAAAGTATTAGCATGGGGTTGAAACAAGTGTCCTTTGTAGAGATCGTCGTCCCTATCTCGGAGGTCAAATAATACTAAAGTAGTAGAAAATGCTTAGTGGTGGCATTTAAATCTCTGTTTTCTTCCTCCACTATGTATATACCTTGCTTTACGTGTATGGGAACTGCTAAAGTGATTCTTCATAGCATCTCCACTGTTGTTCTGTGTTGGCTATACAAACATGAGGCAGCACTCTTTGTTTCTTTTGTCCATCCTCTGTTTGGTGCTCCAACGTTTATTTACGTCTCTGTTTCCTCCTGCAGCGCAAGAATCCAGGCTGGAGACCGAACGAGGACGGAACTCTGTTCATGAGTCAACTCAAGGAATCAGGTAACCTTGTCCCCATATGTACGTACATACCCCGGTCTGTTCCTACAGACTGAGTGAGAGTATACGGTGTCATAGCACAGTGGTTTGAGGTTTGCCTTGGTCTTGTGTTGTGTTGAAGATTGGAACCCCTACCAGCTGAGTTGCCCTGGTAGCTCAGTTGGTAGAGCGCTCGCCTAGACTGCAGAGTGTCGTGGGTTTGAATCCCACCCCAGGGCAGCTCTTCTTCTTTTCAAAAATAAAGAGCTGTCCTGGGTGTAGTTGACTTGTTTGCCTTGCCTTGCCTTTCTACCTCGTTACCAAGTTGTTGAGACAGACATACACTGCACTCATACACTGCCTTTTGATCCCATCCCTTGTGTACTGCTCTAAAGGTTTTGCCATTCCATAATAGTAGTATAAATACATATACACTTACATGTATGTATGTACACAGGTACTTTTAGTATATAGCACTCAGAACTGTAACTTTTAATTCAGCGGAGGAGATGCAGAGGAGTAGTACCAGTGCTCCAGGAGGTTCTCTGCTCTACCCCACACTCCATACCTCCACTGACTTACAGGTACAGTACAGGTATACACACATGTGCTGGAGTCTTGTATGCGTAAGCATAGCCTTCTTGACCAGATTTCACACGTGTCGCTCCAAATCTCGGGCTTAGGTACATACATACATGTACAGTGAATGGATGCGGTGACTTGCATTGTACAAGGAGTTTACCAGGCAGCAAAGCAAGCCTTCTCGCAGTGTTTTATCCAGAATTTTTTTACTGATGTGTAGCAGTTTTTGTTCTCCCTGTGAGAATCTGCTGCATTCAAGGCCTAGGCAAAAGGTCCTCTTGCTTGGTGTCTGTGCACACGTGTGGAGAAACACAGTAACAAACATCAGTTGCAGATGACATAATCAATCAACACGCAGAATGTTTCACTGCAAAGAGCCAGTAGCTAGTATTCTTCTTCTCACACAGGATGTGGTTCACTCTGGCCCCACCCCTACTGCCCCTCCCCCTGACCACACCCACCATTCCACCCTCCTCCCTCCCTCACACCCCACCACACTCATCCCCCAGGGGATGCAGTGGTCTGTGTGGAGTGCCCACGGAGGTCACCTCTCCCCTCCTCACCATTTTCCCCACCTCTCTCCTCCTCACCATCCTCCCCACTTCTCACCCACTCACCATCCTCACCACATCCCCACCTCTCGCTCTGATCCACTTGCTATCAGCACACTGCAACTGCACCAGGTACACGTGTACTTTGCATGGGTGTGTACATGTCTCATGTATATGAACCTACGTATTATTATATACCACTTGCGTATTGCCATAAAACATTCAACAAGAAACCCTTCACTGGAGTTTTTGAGGATGCAATTTTGTTGGTAAACATTCCGTATGAACAGTTAGTCCTTGCTTCTGCTGAGGTTCTTTCCCTTGAATGGGGATTAAGCATAATGCCTGTACATGTGAGAAACCTATAAACTTTGTCTTGGTGAATTCTCTGCTGCTGAAGGTTCATCAAAATTCTCTCCCATCTCTATAGCCATTTCATTCTTCCTCTTAAACCTTCCCTCCTTCCTATCTATTACCTCCGTCTTCCTCTCTCTTCTGTCACTACTCCCATAACGTCCTCCCTCATATCACGTCCTTCCTCAGATCCACGACTACAGAAAAGCAGTGCAGACTTCACTCTACACACCTCACACTCCACCAACAACACAACACAACAACAAAAACAACAAAGCTCTCCAGTGTCCACACCACACCAAAACAGACTGCAATAGACACCGACTCCAGCGACTGGACCCCTTCCTCCACCACATCTCACGTTGGAGCCACCACCACGCAACACGAGACAGAGCTTCAGGGCCGGGAGCTCACCGAGCCTCTACTGGCGAGACAGAAACAAGAGAGGCAGTTGACGGTGGAGAACACAAGTGGAGACAATGGCAGCGGTGGTAGTGGTGGTGGCTCAGGCAGTGCCACTGCTCTGGACATGCACGACAGTAGCACGCGCCTATAGACTTATAGTGCTCATCATCACAGAACACATAACGTATTATACGGAGTTGAAGAATCCCACATTTTATCTCATTAAAATTATATAGCACTCTAGATGTGTGCAGCACGCTGTTTATGAATTATAGTTTGACCACCCTCTACGCTTACTCTTGCTTATTACACTGCTGCTGCTGGACAGCATGACTATATAGAATATTGCTCACATCACTGTCACGGTAAATCAGGAGTACAATCACAAAATAATTGTGTGCGTGGGGTTGCAGTTTGGGTGTGGGGTCTGGACTTGAAAGGTTGCCATGGACACCCTAGAGTGCAGAGCAAACGCACTAGCAAATGCACTAGCCAACTGAAGGAATCTGTGCTCACTATAATTACACTAACTACAATATCACGTAAGTTCAGCAAGCAAAACCAGTGCACTATATATGAATGTCGGGAGCAATTTTGTGACGATATTGCTGTGCGTTGCTTAAGGACATTAGGAAGAATGTATGAATGATACAACAGCATTTACAATCTTCTCACAGCCTATTACAACAAAAACCTGCCAAGATTGGGTCCGTACAAGCTTGAATCTATTATGCTACAATAGAGAATGGATAATGTCTGTTGTTATTCAAGGAGGAATACTGAGCAGTAGATTGGGGCCTCCACTCGCTCCACCAGCCCGGCAGGTAGGCCACGTTACGAGATTTGGAGAGAGAGGTGGCTATGTCTTCGGCTGCCTCGAGTCGTCGCAGCTCAATCAGACCCTCTCCGGCCTCCTCGAAGGCTTTGGAGACGAGTTCAGCAGCTTGGGAGTCACCAGACGAGGATATGACGGCCGCTTGCTTCACTTGCTCAGCCTTGGGGGAGGGAGGAGCGAGAGAGATAGAGGAAGGAAGGATGAGGAATGAATAAGGCACAACAAAGTCTAGTGCAACCTCAGTGCAGGTATAGTTCAATAGTGTGTGTGTTATGGGGCTAAAGTGAGGGTGACCACACCCACTGGGAGGAGTCTGGTAATGAAGAATTCTCCAGTACAACAGGGTTGCATCAAAGAGAAGGTATTTCTACTGCTGTTCTATGGACCTATATATCATACACAAAAATGAAGTGCAAACCCTCGGCGAACTGCGCATGCGCAGTACCGCTAATTTATGGGCTGGGCTATAATAGTATGCGTTTACTCGTGGTCTCCACGCTAGTAGCCCGCGGAGAGTCTGACACGGGTTAGCTACAGTAGCAGATAGCATGCGGGAGTCGATACACACCCTTTGTTGTGGTTTCTTGTGCCTTCAGGATACACAGAGCAAGCGGACTCACTCGAGGTAAGCCTGTTCTAATTAGCATATTGGCTTTTTCACTCGTGTTTCATGCCGTAAACCTCCAAAACGCAGCAGTTTCAGAGAAAACCCCACATTTTTCAACCCTTTTCTGACGCTGTATACGTGGTATTGTTTGTGGAGCGATTGATGGCTCATGAAGTGACATATAGCTCGCGGACAGACAGACAGACAGACCGACACACATGACAACTACGTACTGTAACCCTCACTGCGCATGAGCGCCGAGGGTTAATCAAGACCTTTATGTCATGCAACAAGTTGCCTAGTACGTCTTGACCTCAAGATGAAGAGATAGAGGGAGAGGGAAGAAGGATAAAAAACAGGAGGAGATTTTGAGAGGTGGGGAGTGAATGGGGAGGAGATGAGAAGAGAGTGGAAAGATGGTAAGGGACGAGGATGTACTATATAAGAAAAGAGGGAGAGAGAGAGTGTGTGGAAAATTACAAGTGGGAAGGGTGGTTGTAAAAGGTGTGCGGTTGTCTGCTCACCTTCTCTACGAGGAAGCGAGCCCTCTCGGCATCCTGCTGAGCCACCTGCTTCATCTCCACAGCCTCAGTGAACTCCCGACCAAAACTCAGGTGAGTCTGCAGAGAGAACAGGGAACCCCTCTAGTAATAATGTCCACACTTGGCAGTGTAGCATTTTTGGCAAAGAGCCTAGTAATAATTACGTCAACAGGGTTAAGTATGTGGCTAAGCGCTTTGGAGAACACAGTCTACCAACTGTCTGTATAACATGACACCACACATGCACGCACGCACGTACACAGGAGGGAGGGATGAGCCACCATCACGACCTTGTTCGATTGCGGTAGCCTCGAGAACAGAGAACTCGCTCGAGAAGCTAGCGAGTGCGCACGTGCGCATGGGAAGTATGCTATGTCGTCACATTTCTCTCGCTGGAGGTGGACGACACAATAAAACACATAATGCCTGTCCATCGTTCTATACATGACTTACGGGAACTCAGGTTGTGTGCCTCGAGCTGTATCGAGACCACACCCCCTCGTTCCCGTAAATCAAGTACATATAGAACTCTAAACGCACATTATCTATTACTTATGGGTACTAAAGCATTAAGGTAAATACATGTATGGACGTCGCCCAGTTAAACGGCTAGATAATCCCGCTCTCCCCACACACACTAGGTCAGTAGCTCACAATGGAGATGTCGTCGAGGAGGAGATGGAAGCTCTCGCCCCTCTCCTGGAGCATCTCGTTGATTCTCTGGGACACCACCTCTCTCTGGGTGATCAGCTCACTGGCATCAAACATGGCCTGCGGAGGACAAGGGGCGGGCGGGGCTGAGGGCAAAGTGAGGAGACTCTAATATTCTTAGTCTACGGTAACTCACAATTGACCAATCAGATCGCGAGTTTAGAGATATGTAACAATCTATTTACCTCTTCCACGGTAACTATTTTTTAAAAACACGTGGGCGCTTCGAGGCATGGTAACCACACCCTTACTTCGAAAAGATGCGCCAGAGCACTTTAGGTTCGAAAAAACCAGGTGTACGCTCTTCTACCAGTGGCTCATGACTACAAGAAAACGAGGAAGACGTCGGAAAAAGCGTCTGAGAAACGAAGCGTATGCACTGCCTCCATTTTCCTGTTTTCTTTGCAGGGCTAGCCAGCACGCGAATTGAGAAGACATGGCTCCACAAGACACTCGGCCAGTTCCGCCATTGACAGTGGTGTGCATTTGTTGCCCTGCATGGAGGACATCTTCTTCAGTCTCACTCATGGCAGTCAAAACCTCCAGCAGCTTCGAATCCAATCGTTCAATGGCGCGGTCTTTAGACAGATGCATCGCTTTGGGAACTACGTGATTTAGTGAGCCTCGTGGCCTTCAGTAGCCCCCTCGCTGAGCTCCAGAAAAGCTCTCTTCACTCGAGGAGTACTGTAGATGCATACAGAGGGAGAGACACCAGGTCTTACCACGACTCCCTTCAGAACTTCATTGGCGATGGAGGGTAGGATCTTTTCGTCAAAGTCAACTCCGATGTTGGTGAAGATCCACGGCAGGGACTTCTCGTCCGGTCTGAAGAGAATACGCAGAGTGATATCCACGTTCTGCAGGTCTGAGGGAGGGAGAAAGAAAGAGAACTATAAATCAGTAGTCGACAGTTACCTGCAGCATCATGATGGACAACACAATGAATGAACAGTAGTACTGTGGGAGTGACAAGCAGCGGTCAATAGCCCAGTATAGTACATAAGACATGTATAAGAGCAAACCCTTAGCAGATGTGTGTCGTGACTAGCCAGGAACCACCCTCCAACCCTACAAGTAGTAACATTGATCTCCACATAGAATAGAACATTACGCTTTCCGGAAGTCAACGTCTTGGAGGTCAAATGCACGCATTCCTTACTACGTGACTAGCCATCCAAGATGGCGACTGTTGCAAAAGGATGTATGCCAATTACTTCTGCGCAAAACGTCCATTGGTCACGCATGCAGCTCAGTGTAATCACAACACCATTTGAATGAAAAAGCACTGAAGTGCAAACCCTCGGCGAACTGCGCTTGCACGATACCGCTGATTGATGGGCTGGGCCGTTTACTCGTGGTCTCCTGCTAGTAGCACACGGAGAGTCTGACACGGGCTAGCTACAGTAGTAGATAGCATGCGGGAGTCGATACACGCCCTTCGTTGTGACGTCTTGTGCCTCCAAGGTACGCAGATCAAGCACATCGTGTCGAGGTAAGCCCGTGCTAATTTGCATATTGGCTTGTTCACTTGCTTTTCACACCATAACTTTTTAACGCTGTGTTTCTACGAAAATCGCCAGTTTTAAAATGAAGCAAATGTAGTGCCGAACCCGTTGCTGTAGAGTTTTGGCGATCTTGTTGTGTCTAGTGGGAGAAAACGGGAACGGACACACAGACACACCGACCAAGTACCGTAACCCTCGCTGCGCATGTGCGCCGAGGGTTAATAAGGGCAATAGCTTTTGTGAGTGTGAGGGACGAAACGCAATTCAGGAAGCCAAAATAATTGCAACCAGTTACTAGCCATACTGTGACGGACGCAGACCATAACAAATGTGTTACACTTAGCCAGGAATCACCCTCCCACCGTACAAGTAGTAGTCACACAGTGAGCATGGTAGCATTGTGAACGTGAGCCGCTAGCTTTTGCGAGTCTACACTACGTATAACACACTTCAGGATGCACACTATTCGCAACCAGTACCCTGCATACTGAGGTGGATCCAGACCTTTGCTGCCAGTGACGACGGGGATGCGACGTGGTTTGCTCCTGACGCTGAAGATGATGGGTCTCTGTACCCAGGGGATGAGGAAGTGGGTCCCCTCCCCCACCACCAGCGGGAGGACTCCCCGGAACCTGTCAAATATCACCGCCCTCTCCCCTCCATCAACTGACGGTAGAGAGAAATAGGGGACGAAATGGTAAGAGGACATACTTTTTAGTCTCGCTTAGCAAGACTCTTACTTGCTGGGAGAAAGAGTCTGGCCCACCGACATGAAGTGGTTGTTTAGCATGCCCTCAGCTATAGTGCGTAAAATTACGTCATACTACCAATTGTGCATGCACAGTAACAAAATGGGCAAGTGTGCTGAAGCCATGCGTAAACCACACCAGCACATGCATTTCTTTGTAAACAAAAGTTCAGTGGACTAGACTAGTTTTCCCCAGTGAGTTCTGCTACAGGAGACTATAAAAGCACAGTTATGGCTATAACAGGCGACCTGTGTGTGCTCAGAATAACGAGAAAGTCGTCACGATATCCTACGACAGGTATGGAATGATTTCCTCATTGCACACAACAGTCGCTGCTGGCGTGTTTGCCAGCCTACAGCATCATATGGCAATGGTACACGAGAGTTGTATGGTTGTATACAACTTGCCTGCTACAGGCAAATCTGTATCCCTTCCACTGCTCAGATAGCATACCGTTGTAGAGAGTTGACTTGACAACAGCTCCTGCCACAGCGAGGCCTACACCAAGGCCCATTAGACGGTTCAGAGCCATTTCTGCTACTTGCACGTCGTCACACGTGTGCGTTCACCACGTCGCGCATCATGCGCATGCGCAAGCACATTTCGTCACCTCAGTTTTGTATGCTGCGCTTGCATTTTGTGCCCCACCCACTTTTTGTTGCATGTTCGGTTTGACGTCTTGCACGTCCCAGAGAGAACGCAATATGGCAACAGGTATATTGTAATGCAATGATGTCATAGGATATCTGTGTTAGCTACGAATGTTGGCTTTCTTTTTCAACCAGGGACAGTCGAAAAAATACTGGATGCCCAAGATGTCGCGGAAGTAGTACGAGAGATACTCGTAGTTCAAAATAAATCAGAAACTTTAGGACGTGTTTTAAAACTTCGAAAGTCACGGTGGATCGGATTATCTCAACAGTACAGTAATCCACAAGATCGCCTTTTTCATATCATTGATGAGTTTGTGAAACAAGTGGAGCCGAGCCCTACATGGAGAGCCATTGTTGATGCCCTCAAGAATCCACTCATTGACGAACCTCGCTTGGCTCGAGAGATTGAGGGGAAATTTTGTCCCCTAACCCCTTCAGAAACTGGTATGCCATAATTTATGATCAGCAGCATTATATGGTATGTTTTGACTTAACTTTTATATCAGCAGGTACAATTTCTTCATCAGCAGTTTCCATGGCTGTTTCCACAGCATCTCAGTCTCCAGGAAGTGTTATTCCTCAACCTGAAACAAGTGACGTCTCTGTTTCTGCAGCATCTCAGTCTCCAGGAAGTGTTATTCCTCAACCTGAAACAAATGGCATCTCTGTTTCCGCAGCATCTCAGTCTCCAGGAAGTGTTATTCCTCAACCTGAAACAAGTGACGTCTCTGTTTCCGCAGCATCTCAGTCTCCAGGAAGTGTTATACCTCAACCTGAAACAAGTGCCGTCTCTGTTTCCATGTCATCTCGGTCCGAGACGTCTACTGACCTAGTGATTTTTCCAAGTCAAGGTAAAGTGGTGTTAACTTCTGTGACATATATAATACTGCCAAAACGGGTAACATTGCAGGAGGTGATATTGACAAAATTAAAGCAGATATTGAGACCCTGGAGAGAATGTTTGAAGAGCTACAGGATAGGGTCATCTCGAGCACCAGAAAATGGTTTGTCAATTAATGGCATCTCAGTCTCCAGGAAGTGTTATTTCAAAGCCTATTTCGGATAAAACAACACTACAGGATGTTGAAAACTTCCGAGTGCAGTTAGCATGTCATTACAAGCTTCGGGACTTTGCACTGATGTTAAAACCTAAAGTAAAAGCAGGATCCTTTCTCGTCACATTTTTTGTGCCAAATTCTGTCCTTGAGAGACTAAAAACAGACATCCCAAAAAAGGATCTCTTTGAAGAGTTCGGTGTCACACAACTGGACATAAATGGACACTGTGTGTACTGTGATGGTGGTGAAACACCTCTAGCTCTGACGGAGGAGGCAATGAAGACTACTGCTGTCCCTAGGTTTATGGAGATCTCAGCAACTCTTCCCTCCATGGACGCTTCTTCGGCCTCATCTAATAGAGCACCAGAAAATGGTTTGTCAATTAATGCTATCTTGGAAGAGTGTCTAAATAATCCATGTGACTATAATTCATCAGTTCTTGCTCCTGGAACAAATGGGTCTGATGAGGCTGCATATTATGTGGACCCTATAGCTGGTATGGTAAACCACGATTCCTCTTTATAGGTATATACTCCTGAATATGTATCTCTCGTAGTTACCCTGAAATCATCTGAGTCGGATGAAATGGACTCTAAAGAGGCAGCTCATCTTCCTGAGCCCGCAGTTTGTGAGACTAAGCTACCTGCAGAGGATGCCAGTTTAAGGACTCTTGCTGTGGCAGAGGAAGCTAAAACTACGAGTGCAGTTGTAGTCCCTGGTTTTTCTGAAAACATAGATACTTCTACTACTTCACAGCACCAGTCATCTGATGAAGCTACTTATAGCGATATAGGTAAGATTTGTTGTCATGTGTGCCTTGAGTATCATGCCTTCCTGTGTATTTATAGTTGTTGCTCCAACAAAGTCGTCTGGGCCTGGCGACAGGGATTCTCGTGAACCAACATCAGCATTCTCTAACAAAGGAGGTATGACAGTAAACCTGGTTTAATACTGATAAACACCCATACTGCCATAGCTATACTAAGTTTAAGTGAGTATTTTCTGAATTAACATAGGGATTTTGAGTGAATTCCCTGAACTGCAGCCATTTGTACTCTCTAATGTACATCCGACTGGTGTAACAATTGGCTTCGGATCCTACGGTCGTGTAGAGGAAGTCCGCGTTTCTGGAGCCATATGTGCTGCTAAGAAAGTGCATGATATTTTTCAACTAACAGAATTTCACAATATTTCAAACCACTTTGTAAGGGAGTGCCGCCTGATGAGTACCCTGCGCCACCCAAACATTGTTCAGTTTCTAGGCATTGCCTCTGTTCCTGACTCTCAACTGCCTGTCCTCATCATGGAAAAACTTCAAACCAACCTTCACGACTTTCTAGTCAACACACCAGACCCTGATTCAACCAGGCCATTCTTTCCACCGAGTCTAAAGTGCTCCATACTTCATAATGTGGCAAGTGGTCTAGCCTACTTACATGAGCAAACACCGCCCATCATCCACCGTGACTTGTCGGCAAAAAACATTCTCCTTACCTCTGATAAGGTGGCCAAGATAACAGACTTGGGTACTGCTCGTTTATTCCCTTATGTGAGGGCTACAGCCACCATGACTATGATGCCTGGGGCCCTCTCCTACATGCCTCCAGAAGCTATGGAAAATAGACTTCCAGAAGAAAATGAGGTGCAACCCGTAAAAGCAAAATACGGTACAAGCATCGATGTCTTCTCTTTTGGTGTTGTAACGATATTCACTTTGAGCGAATCCTTTCCCTATGAATTACTTGCTCCCAACTATCGTGAATTCGAAAGTTCTCAACTAAAAGCTAGAACTGAGTTCGAGCGGCGAGAAAAGTATATGAAAATAATATGTAAGGCACTCTCTGATGAGCACCCCCTCATTATGATGATTAAGGACTGCTTGGACTTCCCTGAAAAACGACCAAGTATTCAGAGTGTGCTACATCTGTTGGATGAGCTTAAATCTCGAGGCATTAAAGACAAGCAGATACACATGAACCAGCTGCAGTCTAAGGTGATTGCATGGTAGGGTTTAGCCTATTAATTTTACGTACACCTTGATGGGGAAGGAGCTATAACATCAAAGCCCTCCCGTGAAACAAGCAGTTCAACATTAATTTCGTGCGTGTTTTCACGTGTATTTATAATCACGTAAACCATGTGTTGGGCTGGCTTTGCTCGCCAATTATTCTGGGTGCAGCACTGTAGTAGATAGTCACGCAGGCCAGACCGTATATGATGTTTTTTTACACACCGACTTTCGGTTACAGCTTTACACTAAAGTATGCATAGGGAACTCATCACGCCAACTTGTGAATATTGCATAATGATGCACGATCAAAACCCCCAACGTTGCACAACTTAAAAGTGTGTAATTACTACTAATTAAACGAATGTGCAGTTGGATGACATAGCAGTACTGACATAAATTATTTTCCACTGTTTTGACAACTAGATTGCTTGACATTGTATGGAGGTAGAATAGTGTGAAAAAGGGTCGTTTCCAACTGCAGGCGATGAAACCACTCGAAGGCCAGGAGGAAGTTCAGAATTACACAGGTAGCGATGCCAATATCAATCAAATAAGCTACCTTCACCCCTTACCAGAAATAGCTTTTGATGATTGGAGATATTATGCTTATGCTGCTGAACAAAGGAGAATCCTAGTACGGAACAACCGAAGATTTCGTCAAGAAGTAGATATCGAGGCTATTTACCCATACCTCAATGAGCAGGGTCTACTGTCCGACCACGAGAGAGACATTCTGCAGAACCATTACCACACACGACAGTTCAAGATAGACAAACTGCTGCAGTGGATACCCATGAAAGGCGATGATGCAGTGGATATGTTTGTATATTGTTTGCGGAGGTCTAGTCACAAGGCGATTAGCCACAAGGAACTTGCAGACTTGTTTCAGCATAACCAAGGCATTAAGCAGTTGATCCCTACTCAACCCCCTGCATTAGCAGTGACTAAAGGTAAGAGTAGTCCTATGAGCCAGCATTTTACTGTGGAAAATATGTTTGGTCTCTCTGAGCATGATGGTGAGCCTATTATGTGTTTTCTGACCCGCATAATGCACGATATAGCATGCATAACCCTCGCAGCTTTATATTCAAATGCGACAGGCTCAGTGCACCGTCTTAGTTGCAAGCCTCCTATCTCGTCCATAATTATACATGCAAGAAGTGCCGTCGCGTGAACACAGAATTTGGACGTTTCTCAACAATTGAGGAGCTGCAGAATAACCAGCACTGGTGAACAAACACAGCACATTTTCATTGTAGCCAAACGCAAATGTGGTTGAGTTTTCATAGAGTGTTTATCCAATCAAGTGACAGTAATTGTGCTCCTAGTAAAATTATATGATCCTTAGTTTTTAGCTGTAATGTGAACATGTTTTTTCACTATTATTCTAGTAAAGGACATCACTTCTGTAGTTCAGAATGTTTGACATATTTGCTAAGAGACTTAACCCATAGAAGGAGTGCTGATAGTGAAGGCCATTAAAAGTTTGTCCTACACTTAGCTATATAGCATCATTCACAGTAGCACATTGTGTGTGAATATTGACTATCATAGCTCTGCTGCATGTGTTGGCATAAAGGCAACAATGGTTCCAGACAATTGATCACCTGATCATGCACAAATAACACAGTGGCAGTGGTGCACATGCTAAGGTGGCAGTTTGTCTGTCGTTGATTTGTCCGTCTGTCTGTTACCACGTTTTTGGCCATCACACATAACTGAGCCGGCTACAGAGCAACACTGGCATAGGTCACACCGGAGGTATAGCTACTGGTGCCTGCATATAGTGGTGTTTTGAAATGTGCACGTCCATACACACAGTGCACCAAAGTTTTTGCATTCTGGTGCATCCCCATTTAGATGAGTCTAAGGATGTAACCAACAGTGCCACTATATCTGCAGCACATCATAATGGTGAGCTAGTGTAAACCATTTTATGTAGCTATGTTTCAACAGCTAGAGTCTGTGTATACATGAATAGTATGCGGTGAGTTCATCGTTTTCCAAACTTTTTAACAATCTAGTATAGTATCAAACGACATGCAATAACACACACACACACACTACACCAAGAGTTCCGCCTTTCCATGTTTCTATCAACGGTTTGCTGCAACCACATTTCACTTGGCATGCATACACTATTCCAAACGCCATGCTTTCCATTTGCAGCCCCATCACTGCGCCGAGGGTTTGCACTTCAATGCCTTTCATTACTAAGGCAGATCATTTTTCTGTGGGCTAGCACTGCCCAATCACATGAGCCTCATTGAGCAATGAAGATCTATTAGCATGCAAGATATTTCGTCTGGAGATGCATCGAGGTATATCATCTACACAGTTTGCCCGTACATCGTACACACACCATAACAGTGAGTCTGAAATACTAATGATGTGTGATACACTCCTATAACGTATACCCAGATTGGCTGACGTCTTGGAACACCATACTGACTGCAGTCCCTATTTTGATCGTGTTACTAGCTGTGGTGTGGTCTAACACAGACTGCTACCAGCTGGGACTCTGCCACTCAAAAAGTCTGCCATCTGTGAGTCATTTTGTCGGTCGAGAGGAAGACATTCGCAACATCACTGGCTACCTTGACTTCTATACCTCAGATGTTCAGGTAGTTCACATTGTTGGACCTCCTGGGTTCGGTAAATCCACTCTGGCCATGAAAATTGGGGAAATATTCTTACGGAACTGGGTTAGTGTTCATTATGTAGATGTTAGGCAAGAGCTTGTTAAAGACATCGATACCCTTGCTCAAAAAATTGTATTGACTATGGTTGATCTACGAAGGAACAAGAAACTGAAAACATTTATTGATTTAAAAGATAAGGTTCACAACCAGTACTCAAACTCATTGATAATACTAGACAACTGTGATGAGCTTTTTGAAGACACTAAAGAAGAATTTTGGAAGGCATTAGAGTCATTAATGCTTGCCTCACCCCTAAAACGTGTGCGGTATATTCTTACCAGTACACACCATCAAGCAGCTAAAATTGGCAACTTTCGACTCCATGCCATTTCCAACCTCTCATCTGAAGCAGCTATCCAACTGTTGGGTGCAGTAGCTCCTAGTTTAACAGATGATCAGAAGTGGCAAATAGCCAATCTGACAGGAAATGTTCCACTAGCACTAGAGGTTATAGGGGCTATTTTCAAATTTCAGAATGCTCCTTTTTCTGAGAAAGTAATCCTTAAGTTAAGAGATAATCTACCTCGTCCAGCTCAGCTACCTACTTCTTCCATTGATCTTGCTTACAGTTATCTGAAGCCACAACTGAAACTGTTGTGTGTTAATCTCTCCCATTTTCCCGGCCGTTTTAATAAAGAAAGTGCTAGTTTTATTTTCTCATTCACTGAAGACATGCTAGATGAGTTAGTACAAAGATCACTGTTGCAATCTAGTCATGGTACGCAAAGCTATTTCTTTCACCAACTACTCCACAAGTTCTTTCAAAGTCAAAAAGTGGAAGGAGCATCACTTCAGAAACATTTTGACACTCAATTCCAAATCTACTTTACTCGTACTCTTGACAAAATAATAACAGAGTATGTCAAGACTTTTAAACTGACTCAATTAGATGAGGAAAAACACAATATTAAATACATGTTTGCTCTATTTAAAAGGGCTAAGCATGTCACGACAACTTACAGTGGAGTAAGAGTGGTATTGAAAGCACAAGAAATTAATATAATCCAACTGAAATTTCTACCATTAGAACTGCATGAAATTTCCTTGCAAATGCTGGATGCTCTGGACTTTTACACACATCGTGATCAGGCTAATGTTAAATCTTTCACACAAACATACCTGAAGGTAGTGATGTTTGTTGCTACTACACTTCACAAAAAAGCAGATACAATCACAACTTTAGTTTCGAAACATGAAAAAATCGATGAGGGTTATCAGAGAGGAGTAATATCTGCCAATGAATTCACAAAGTACTACAATGTGCTGGCACAGTACTATTGGGAAAATGGAGACAATATTAAAGCAACTAGCTGCCACACACACATTCTCTCAACTATTCATGGACAGGTAAGGCGTTGCAACCCAAAATGTGACTATCTGAGTGTTTCCATTGCATACGAAGACATTGGAGACCAAATGAAGGCATTGGATTTCCGGGAACTTGCATACCAGTACCAGTTACACTCTTTAGACCAGAGAGAGCATGCAAAACTAATTCTTGATTTGTACAACAACTCTTCTAACATCGCAAAAGACAAAAACTTTTCGCCTACTGTAATTGATGACGTGTACCCTTACCTAATTACTGCTAACAGATCTGATTACTCAGAGGAAATGTATTATGTTGCTATTGAATACTTCCGGGCCAACAATTTGGAAAAACAAGTGGTTCAACTGCAGATGAGAATGATCAACAATTCATTTCCATGCAAGAAAAGACACTGTACTGGATTATTGAAAAGGGAAGAGCATTTTGATTTGTTTTTGGAAAAATCTCAGCATCAAGCTGATCTAATGGCTACATGTGAATTTAAATGTGCTGCCCACTATGCAGGTATGGCACAGGAGGCCTATGACAGGAAATGTTACTTCCTGGCAATATGGTCAGGGCTAAAAAGTTGTAAAATTATTGATAAGCTTGGAGAACCCAACGCAGTACTAAAGTTTTTACCAAAATATTTAGTGGCACTAAGTTACTATGAGATGGGAAAAAACTATTCTGCAACACAGACTGTATTAGAATACGCTGTGAAACACACAGGCATTGCCATTAAGTTTGATTATTTCTCTTTGGAGTTGAGACTTTTGAGATCAAAGATATGTCGTGTTTTAATAGCATTGAATTGGCCACTTTCTAATCCACGTTGCTACTTTTATATCATGCTAGATATTGCATACATGTGTGCTATTGCACTAACCCACCTTTTAATGAACGTCAACACACTACTTTATTATTTTTTGAGAGCTATATTACCACAAATATTCTGGTACCTGGAAAATATTAAACTTGTGTACCTTTATGTTATAGTTATAGTATTAGGCCTTTGTTTCTGGGCTTTTTATATAGGCTTTGGTGGTTTATATGGTTTATATTTATGTTTGTCTTGGTGTTTCCACACACGATTCCGAAGATTTCTTATCCTTTTTATTTTGCTAATTCTACTTGTCACTGATTTGGTATGAACTTTTTTCAGATATTGCCTGATACAAAGAAAAAGATGCGCAAATAAGCATACATTATCAACGTTAATTGACAAAAGGGAATGGGGTGTATGTATTAGTGTTCATCCCCAGAAAACCCTGCACAAGTTAAGTTTAGGACATAGGCAACAACTACTCAATAAGAGGTGGACACATTGGATTTTTAGCACACTTTGCCATTGTTATTTTTCACGCTAGTAGGCATGGTGGATATTAGAGCGTTGGTAGACAGTCTGTTATAAAAGGATGGCCTGGGTCAAATATCGCGTACAAAAATCCTCAAAACTCAGCGAGAATGTCTCTGTCGTCAAAAATCACGCATACTAAAGAGCCCAGCCCATCAATTAGCGGTACCGCGCATGCGAAGTTCGCCGATCGACACTTCAGTGGGTAGATGGCACAAGTAAGGTGGATCTTCGAGATACGCGCATAATAAGAAGATACAGCGTCTAATGCCTAGTCGTGTAACCGGTAGCAGCACTGGTAGTGTAGCTGGAGTAACAAACCCGTAGCAGTAGTAGCGCTGGTAGCTGGGGTAGCACTAGGAGCACTAGTAGCACTGGTAGCTGAGGGAGCACTGGTAACACTAGTAGCAGAGGGAGCATTGGTAACACTGGTAGCTGAGGGAGCACTAGTAGCAGAGGGAGCATGGTACACTGGGTAGCAGAGGGAGCATGGTACACTGGTAGCAGAGGGAGCACTGGTAGCAAAGGGAGCATGGTAGCTGAGGGAGCACTGGTAACACTAGTAGCTGAGGGAGCACTGGTAACACTAGTAGCAGAGGGAGCATGTAACACTGGTAGTGAGGGAGCACTAGTAGCAGAGGGAGCATGGAACACTGGTAGCAGAGGGAGCAATGGTAACCACTGGTAGCTGAGGAGCGCTGGTAACACTGGTAGCTGAGGGAGCACTGGTAGCAGAGGGAGCACGGCAGCTGGTTTGTGCGCAACTGGTACCACTAGTAGCACGAGGGAGCACTGGTAACACTGGTAGCTGAGGGAGCACTAGTAGCAGAGGGAGCACTGGTAACACTGGTAGCAGTAAGCAAGAGCACTGGTAGTTAAACACTAGTAGCTGAGGAGCGCTGGAACACTGGTAGCTGAGGGAGCACTTGGTATAGCAGAGGTGGGGCACTGTTAACAACTGGTAGCAGAGGGAGCAGCACTGGGTAACACTAGTAGCAGAGGGGGGCACTGTAACACTGGTAGCACTGGTACACACTGGTAGCGAGGAGGCCAAGCACTGGTAGCAGAGGGAGCACTGGTAGCTGAGGAGCACTAGTAACACTGGTCGCAGAGGGGAGCGCACTGTAGCTGAGGGAGCACTGGTACACTCGTAGCAGAGGGAGCACGGTAAACACGGTGAAGCCGGAGGGAGCAAAGTAGGCGCAGAGGGAGAGGTAGCACGGCGGTGAGCAGAGTCGCAGAGAACGCGCAAGCACTGGTAACACTGGTAGGATGTGGGGGAGGGAGCGCGTGGTAAACACTGGAGCTGAGGGAGCATGGTAGCAGAGGAAGCACGGTAGCTGGGGCGCAGCACTGTAGCTGAGGGAGCCACTGGTAACACTAGTCGCAGAGGGAGCACTGGTAACACTGGTAGCTGAGGGAGCACTAGTAGCAGAAGGAGCACTGGTAACACTGGTAGCAGAGGAGCCACTGGTAACACTGGTAGCTGAGGGAGCGCTGGTAAAACTGGTAGCTGAGGGAGCACTGGTAGCAGAGGGGAGCACTGGTAGCTGAGGGAGCACTGGTAACACTGGTAGCAGAGGGAAGCACATGGTAGCTGAGGGAGCACTGGTAACACTAGTAGCCAGAGGAGCAATGAGTAACACTGGTAGCTGATGGAGCACTAGTAGCAGAGGGAGCACTGGTAACACTGGTAGCCAGAGGGAGCACATGGTAACATGGTAGCTGAGGAGCGCTGGTAACACTGGTAGCTGAGGAGCACTGGTAGCAGAGGGAGCACTGGTAACACTGGTAGCAGAGGGAGCAACTGGTAACGTGTAGCTGAGGGAGCGCTGGTAACACTGGTAGCTGAGGGAGCACTGGTAGCAGAGGGAGCACTGGTAACACTGGTAGCTGAGGGAGCACTGGTAACACTAGTAGCAGAGGGAGCACTGGTAGCTGAGGGAGCACTGGTAACACTGGTAGCTGAGGGAGCACTGGTAACACTAGTAGCAGAGGGAGCACTGGTAGTGAGGGGGGCACTGGGCCACTGGTAACACAGTAGCAGAGGGAGCACTGGTAACACGGTAGCTGAGGGAGCACTACATAGAGAGGGAGCACTGGTAACATGGTAGCAGAGGGAAAGCACTGGTAACACTGGTAGCTGAGGGAGCGCTGGTAACATTGGTAGCTGAGGGAGCACTGGTAGCAGAGGGAGCACTGGTAGCTGAGGGAGCACTGGTAACACTGGTAGCAAGGGAGCACTGGTAGCTGAGGGAGCACTGGTAACACTAGTAGCAGAGGGAGCACTGGTAACACTGGTAGCTGAGGGAGCACTAGTAGCAGAGGGAGCACTGGTAACACTGGTAGCAGAGGGAGCACTGGTAACACTGGTAGCTGAGGGAGCGCTGGTAACACTGGTAGCTGAGGGAGCACTGGTAGCAGAGGGAGCACTGGTAACACTGGTAGCAGAGGGAGCACTGGTAACACTGGTAGCTGAGGGAGCGCTGGTATCACTGGTAGCTGAGGGAGCACTGGTAGCAGGGGGAGCACTGGTAGCTGAGGGAGCACTGGTAACACTGGTAGCAGGGGGAGCACTGGTAGCTGAGGGAGCACTGGTAACACTGGTAGCAGAGGGAGCACTGGTAACACTGGTAGCTGAGGGAGCGCTGGTAACACTGGTAGCTGAGGGAGCACTGGTAGCAGAGGGAGCCCTGGTAACATGGTAGCAGAGGGAGCACTGGTAACACTGGTAGGTGAGGGAGCGCTGGTAACACTGGTAGCTGAGGGAGCACTGGTAGCAGAGGGAGCACTGGTAACACTAGTAGCAGAGGGAGCACTGGTAGCTGAGGGAGCACTGGTAACACTGGTAGCAGAGGGAGCACTGGTAGCTGAGGGAGCACTGGTAACACTAGTAGCAAGGGAGCACTGGTAACACTGGTAGCTGAGGGAGCACTAGTAGCAGAGGTAGCTAAGGGAGCGCTAGTAGCAGATGGAGCACTTGTACCAGAGGGAGCACTGGTAGCTGAGGGAGCACTGGTAGCAGAGGGAGCACTGGTAGCTGAGGGAGCACTGGTAACACTAGTAGCAGAGGTAACACTGGTAACACTGGTAGCAGAGAGAGCACTGGTAACACTGGTAGCGGAGGGAGTACTAGTAGCAGAGGTAGCTAAGGGAGCACTGGTAGCAGAGGGAGCACTGGTAGCTGAGGGAGCACTGGTAGCAGAGGGAGCACTGGTAGCAGAGGTAGCTGAGGGAGCACTGGTAGCAGAGTCTGCTACCAGTGCTCCCTCAGCTACCAGTGTTACTAGTGCTCCCTCTGCTACCAGTGCTCCATCAGCTTCCTCTGCTACTAGTGCTCCCTCTGCTACCAGTGCTCCCTCAGCTACCAGTGCTCCCTCTGCTACCAGTGCTCCCTCAGCTACCAGTGTTACTAGTGCTCCCTCTGCTACCAGTGCTCCCTCAGCTACCTCTGCTACTAGTGCTCCCTCTGCTACCAGTGTTACCAGTGCTCCCTCAGCTACCAGTGCTCCCTCTGCTACCAGTGCTCCCTCTGCTACCAGTGCTCCCTCTGCTACCAGTGCTCCCTCTGCTACCAGTGCTCCCTCTGCTACCAGTGCTCCCTTAGCTACCTCTGCTACTAGTGCTCCCTCTACTACCAGTGCTCCCTCAGCTACCAGTGTTACTAGTGCTCCCTCTGCTACCAGTGCTCCCTCAGCTACCAGTGCTCCCTCTGCTACCAGTGCTCCCTCAGCTACCAATGTTACTAGTGCTCCCTCTGCTACCAGTGCTCCCTCAGCTACCTCTGCTACTAGTGCTCCCTCTGCTACCAGTGCTCCCTCAGCTACCAGTGTTCCCTCTGCTACCAGTGCTCCCTTAGCTACCTCTGCTACTAGTGCTCCCTCTGCTACTAGTGTTACCAGTGCTCCCTCAGCTACCAGTGCCTCCTCTGCTACCAGTGCTCCCTCTGCTACCAGTGCTCCCTCAGCTACCAGTGCTCCCTCTGCTACCAGTGCTCCCTTAGCTACCTCTGCTACTAGTGCTCCCTCTACTACCAGTGTTACCAGTGCTCCCTCTGCTACCAGTGCTCCCTCAGCTACCTCTGCTACTAGTGCTCCCTCTGCTACCAGTGCTCCCTCAGCTACCAGTGTTCCCTCTGCTACCAGTGCTCCCTTAGCTACCTCTGCTACTAGTGCTCCCTCTGCTACTAGTGTTACCAGTGCTCCCTCAGCTACCAGTGCCCCCTCTGCTACCAGTGCTCCCTCTGCTACCAGTGCTCCCTCAGCTACCAGTGCTCCCTCTGCTACCAGTGCTCCCTTAGCTACCTCTGCTACTAGTGCTCCCTCTACTACCAGTGTTACCAGTGCTCCCTCAGCTACCAGTGCTCCCTCAGCTACCAGTGCTCCCTCTGCTACCAGTGCTCCCTCTGCTACCAGTGCTCCCTCAGCTACCAGTGCTCCCTCTGCTACCAGTGCTCCCTTAGCTACCTCTGCTACTAGTGCTCCCTCTGCTACCAGTGCTCCCTCTGCTACCAGTGCTCCCTCAGCTACCAGTGCTCCCTTAGCTACCTCTGCTACTAGTGCTCCCTCTGCTACCAGTGCTCCCTCAGCTACCAGTGTTACTAGTGCTCCCTCTGCTACCAGTGCTCCCTCAGCTACCAGTGTTACTAGTGCTCCCTCTGCTACCAGTGCTCCCTCAGCTACCAGTGCTCCCTCTGCTACCAGTGCTCCCTTAGCTACCTCTGCTACTAGTGCTCCCTCTGCTACCAGTGCTCCCTCAGCTACCAGTGTTACTAGTGCTCCCTCTGCTACCAGTGCTCCCTCAGCTACCAGTGCTACTAGTGCTCCCTCTGCTACCAGTGCTCCATCAGCTACCTCTGCTACTAGTGCTTCTTCTGCTACCAGTGCTCCCTCAGCTACCAGTGTTGCTAGTGCTCCCTCAGCTCCCTTTGTTACTAGTGCTCCCTGTGCTACTGGCTGCTACCTCAATTCGCATTAGGACGAGTGGGCTTATGGGCGCTTAAGACTGCCTTACTTGTGCATCTACCCTTCAGTGGCTCAATCACTGCAGTGGTGTTACGTAACTACAAAAGCACGCCCGCAAAATTACGCACGACACACCCAACCCGCCATACACTTCCTGCATCCTCCTGATACCCAACGTTGCTGGTTTACTGTACAGGGCTAACAGATATCTGGGACATGACGACAAGTAAGTATTGATAGAGGATATGTGATGCAGAATCATGCCATACCGGTATACTCGTCCTCACTACCAGGGCCGGTGGTCGTGATTGATAAAATACTGGATGAAAACGACGTCGCTGAAGTAGTTAGAGAGATACTTCATGTTCAAAACCAATCAATAACTTTAGGACGTGTTCTGAAACTTCGTAAAGTCACGGTGGATTCGATTTGTCAAGAGTACATTAATCCACAAGATCGTCTTTTTCGTGTCGTTGATGAGTTTGTGAAACAAGTGGAGCCCAGCCCTACATGGAGAGTCATTGTCAATGCCCTCAGGGACCCACTCATCAATCAACCTCGCTTGGCTCTAGAGATTGAGAGAAAGTATTGCTCCCTTCCTCCAGTAGGAGGACCCGGTATGGTATAATCACAGACAGTACACACTACGCAAGGATTGGAAGCTGCGTATGTATGTTATAGCTATGGTTTCCACCTCCTTCCTAGTGTGCACATGTGTACAGGAGAGGGAAGGAATGATCTGGTAAATAGCGTGGCTGGAATGCATGTGTGATTTTACTGTAGCTATTTCTACCCAAAGAAAAACTAAACTACTAAACTGCTGAACTGCATCACATTGCTACTAATTCACTCACTTGTGTGAGTAACGTTTGACCACAGTCACTTGCATATTAAATTCCTGGATCCGCGCTAGGGTTTCTCATAACCTTCCTACCCTCTCTGCGTGCACACATAAGAAAGGGGCTGGGAACTCGACTAAGTTAGCTACTAATCGGCTAATCTCACCCCCTGACTATATACCCACACAGGAATGGTTTGTGTGTAGTGTGCTAGTGTGAAGACAAAACTACTCGCTTCCACTCCCCAAAAATGCCCTGCATTTGCCTTCTAGTGATGGTTCTTGGGAAGCCTTTCTCTAAGATGACTTATCAAAATGTATGTGTAGTTAGCACAACGTACCGTAACAAAGCTTCAATTTTATCCCCCCCCCCCCCATGCAATCATAAATTAGGATAATTAGGCCAGAAATTGTAACGTAATCTTCTGTTGTTTTTCTCCTATCTCCAGCTGGTACCATTTCTCCATCTGAGCTAGTCCCTATTCCTATGGCATCCCAAGCGTCTACCAGTGTGGTTATGTCTCCAGATGGTAGGTTTTACTCTGTAGTGGAAATGCTTGGTTGCACCTTACCTGGACCTGCACTATCATATATGTATATACATACTAGTTGAATGCTTAAACTTTTTGGCGAGCAGGAGCGACCCAACTGCAGCCATTAGTGAATATGCACTAGAAAAAAGTGCTGTGTCAGCCGCAAACTGCTGCTGGCCGTTAGTATCTGTGACGAAATTTCGAGCGAATGTCTCTGTCAGTCGGCGGTTTTCATCTGTTGCAAGCGTGTACGATCGTGCTGCACGCCATTCTCTCTCCTGTGCCCGACATTGCAGAAGCAAGAACGCTGTCTGCGATGAGCACAGTCCCTTATCAGTCACCGCTCCCTGGCCTCCACGGTTTATGAAGCATGACACCGTTTGTCTCTCTCTCTCTCTCTTCGCCAAATCCTCCTTCGTGTCCGTATAATTATACTAAGGCTAGGTTCACAATGTGTCGCATTGCCCTATCGCGCCGTGCCGCATTGCCGCACCATGCGGATGGAATCCCATTTCTATCTTCACAGTAGGACGAGAAACGGCACAGCGCGACAGGCTAATGCAACATTATTGTGAACCTAGCCTAACAGGCTGCTGTTGAACCCTCCACGCGTGTGTGACATGGCGAAATACGTTGTGGATTTAGAATAATTACGGTATGGGTGGCATTGTCGGACAGAAAGAGATAAAGAGAAATTTCGGCCCGTTGTAACGACTGGGTTGGCTCACTCCTGCTCGCCAATAAGCAGTCCCTACCAACATAGTTTGGCAGGCATCCCTGCAGAGATTTATCAACAATGACGCAAAAATACATAGACGTTTAAGTGATAACACGTGTCTGGGGGAAAGATTCCGTTAACACATGTGCAAAAGCACAACATACAGTGGCTCTTGTATATAAAATTACTGAAGAACGACAGTTACCGTGATATAGCATTCGAGATCCTAGTAGATATGGTACCTCATGCATACTTTCACTTGCAGGATATGATATTGATAAAATTGAAGAAGACATCAAAATCTTGGAGGATATGTTTCACAAGCTAAAGCGAATGGTTCTCACTTTGCTTCAAGTAAATGCCATTAAAGTGGAAGTTATCGTCCATAACCTAACCGAATTGCCAGCATCTCAAATGTCCCAGCATGAGCCTTACTTTGAGAAGAACTTAGACAAACTAGAAAAATGCACAGAACACATACCATTATTCTCGCGTCTAAATCTTCACTGGAACTATCTCTCTCCTCAATTACTCTTCCATCTGGTTCGTGAATTCCTGGCTGACACGGACGCTAAAAAAGAAATGATTTCATATGATGCACACCTTAGTCAGTTCAGGTGTTGCACGCATCTGCAGCTCTTCTGTCAGATAGAAGAAGAGGATATCGAGCCACCAGAGGGATTTTCAAAGATTGTGGCAAAGTTTGAAAAACACATTTCGGAGAAAACGACGCTGGAAGATGTTGAAAAGTTTAGGTTGAGGTTGGCAAGGCACTACAGGCTGCGTGACTTTGCACTCATGCTTAAACCAAAAATCAGGCCAGGATCATTCATCGTCTCATTTTTTGTTCCTTCTTCTGTCCTCGAGAGACTAAAAGTCGACGTCCCGAAGAAAGATATTTTTGAGGATTTCGGCATCACACGAATGGACGTTGATGAATATTGTGTGTACTGTGATGTCAGTGCAACAGCTCCAGCAGCTGGTGGGTCCCTCCACATGTCAATGATGACTACTGGTTCTCGCTCTGCAACCATCACTTCAGTCTCTTCGCACTCATTGTCAGATGCAGTCCCTGGTTCCGCGGAGGTCTCTGACACTCACCATTCCACAGAAAGTTCTACAGCCTCTTTGCAGCCCCAGTCCTCGGATGGAGCTCATAGTAAGTACATTGGTGTACATTTGTGTTGCTTAGTGTAAAACCAATACCTAAACCTACTGTACTTCGGGATTTTACACGAGACTAACTATGATACTTTACTATTATTGTCCACACTTCATTGATGTTCGGGGAGACGAACACCACCGGAATGGAGGTGGAATGTCCAAATTCAGTTCCATTCGGAATTTTTGCCACATTTGGCATTCCATAGACTGCTGTTGCTACGGAAACGTGTGCTAATTAACCCTCGGTGCACATGCGCAGCGAGGGTTACTGTACTTGTCCATTTGTGTCTGTCTGTCTGTTACCGACCTTGGTTTTTGCAACTGCAACTGCAACCACAATGACCCACCTTATCTTGGCAATAAACTAGCTGGTCACATGACTTATGACCAATCAGATGCGTGGCATGTGCATTTAATCACGTCATGTGCACTTACAAGTGTGCAATAACCAGATAATACACACTTCAACGGACAGGTTTGCTGCGCTTTGACGCTCGATTGCCTATACGTGCGTGCGTTGTCTGGAGGGGGGGCTACGTGACTTACTGAGAAGGCAGATAACATCGTTACTCACATTGTAGGCATCTTTCGACAAAGGCGGTGTGTAGAGCCACAACACAACTGGCAAACTGTCACTGCTCCACAACTTGCAACACCTGCGGCTCGTTCATTCCGCAACATCGTGCACTATTGCATCATTCTGGTGCACACAATAAGTTAGCTAAGTGTGTTATAACTATTACATACATTCCTGGTATGTATTATAGGTTCAAGGAAGTCTGCTTCACTGCTCAAGAAATCACCACCCATGTTGGCCGTTCCAGCTCTTGACCACGACGGGACACCAGAGCGCATGCGAGACTGGATATGTAGAATGGTGGACTCGAGTCGCTTCCACGGGCTGGAGTGGATCAACCCCGAAAAGACCATCTTTCGCGTACCGTGGATCCATGCAAAGAAACGCGGCTTCTGCAAGGAGCGAGATGCGGCCCTATTCCGAGAGTGGGCCATACACTCGGGCAGGTATCGTGACGAGTCAGATCCGACCGTGTGGAAAATCAACTTTCGTTGCGCCATCAACGGCCTGAAGGACATAATGGAGATCAAGGACCTGCAGACGGAAGACTGTCGCGTGTACAAGGTCCTCCCGAGCCGACGGGCGCGACGCAAGCCCCATCGCCGCTTCCCCAATGTGGAGCCCTACGGACCCATTATGACACCGCCAAGTGAGTGTAGAGCCGTTTGCTGTTTTGTTTGCAGCTTTTATTGCATAGTACCCACCTTTTCATTGCAGACTACTCTGTGTATACCCCTCCTTCCTTTGGCTTCTACACCTTGAGCCCGCTCAGAGTCCCATCGCCTCCCAACATTAAGTCTGAGCTCAGCAGCTCGGAGGCCGACGAGGTAAGATCCTCCCACACTGTGTCATGCATGTCTGTCACTACATTACATACACTGGTACATGTGTCATGGCGTGCAATACTCCTCCTGTGTGGCCCTGGGTGCGTGCCAATTGTGGGATTTTAGTGCCAATTTGGAGCAGTTTCTTTCCTCAGAGCAGTTTCTTTCCCTGAGTTGATGGCTTATTGGAGCTTCCTTTACATTTCTCTTTTTCCCCCTTCCAATACTCACTGCCATTTCTATATCATATCACCCAAGGGTTTTGCACTGTGAGTTGGGTCTATAAAATTGTATCTCTCCAATTTGAACCTTATATGTAGCTAACGCTGCATTTAATTAACCCTCGGCGCGCATGCGCAGCGAAGGTTACTGTACTTGGTCCGTAAGTTTTTCTGTCTGTCTGTCTGTTACCACGTTTTCTGCAACCACGCGCAACGAGACAACGAAAGAGTGATACCAAAAGGTTCAGCGCTATACTGGCTTGATTTTATATGTGGCGATTTTCGTATAACTATGGAGTTCAAAAGTTATGGCGTGAAAAGCAAGTTAACAAGCCAATGTGCTAATTAGTATTCGCTTACTTCTAGGAAGCGAGAAATAAACACATGAGTGTGTTACACTGGCGGGTTGCGCACAATAATCACGTTTTTTTCGCCGTAAATGGCTCCGTTGAGCGGCCATGGTTTGAGGGCAGCGCTCGAGGATACTTCTTGTCGTTTCTGGTGCAAATACTTTTTTGAGTTGGCAATCAGCACTCGTCTACATTCCGCGTGTTGTAGGCAGAGGGGGCTCACCGATGGAGAGGGCGATAGACGCCTGAAGATGCCCGCAGTGTGACACAACAGTACTCGGCGGCGTGGAACCACGAATGTGACACATAGCCCAAACCACATACGTGGTTCCACGCCGCCGAGGGTTTTGCACTTTAGTTCTTTTCATTAATTAAATGTGTCTGTATTAAAGTCTATTCATGTTCACCTGGATCCCGAAAGTCATTGTGTAAGCAGTTTAATTGAGTACCGCGTACTTTTACTTTTCTTGTGGGACCGTACAGCTATTTGTATATAGTCCAACTTCAGACAACCTGGTGCTAAGAATATACGCTGTATTCTGAGCTGTGGGCTGAGGGCTGCACGGTATCAGTATTGGACAGGAAATCCTTATCACAACATCTAGCGCTAGGCGTAGTGCAAATTGTCTGGCTTCCTAAGTTTACACAACAGTCATTAGTCATTAGTGCAGGATGACACAGCAGAAATTCAGCATTGTGATTGGCTAGTTGGACTACAAATCAGTTAATCTTCGCGCGTACAGGATATCATCCTCGGCACCTATACGTTAACTAATACGTAACTTAGGATTCAGGCTGAGTCAAGCGTATTGAGAGTGGTGTTGGAATTTTGTTGGTTATTGCGAAGTTGTAGGTGAAGTATAATATACTTTATTAAGGTGTCGTTTTACGGACTGAAGTGCATGCAAGGGTAATCCTTAGAAAGGTGCCCCCATTTTCCTTTTAGAAAAGAGTTCCATTTATCACATACTGTTATACTATATACATACTGTCATTTCCAAAAACAAAACCAAGATTATAGAAGAGTTGGAGCGTGGTGAAGAGCCAGAGACGAGAAGCAGTATACAGGTCCCACTGCCACTGCCGCTGCCACTGGATCTGCCACGGCCACAGGATCTGCTACAGGATCTGCAACAAGATCTAAGGTTCCCTGACATGAGTAGCCTCCCTGCCGAAGAATTCGTGGTTACCAACAATCCTGGAGGAGACCCCACAGCAGCCCAGGCAACAACCACTCCCCGCAGTTTGGAATAGGGACCCTCGCAAGAACCGACCTCAGTCCTGGTGCCGAAAGTGATTGCAGAGAGTGAGAGCCTCTGAACTTATAGTTTAGCCTCTATTTGTATTAGGAACTCTGGACAGGTATTGAAGTTTGGTTTACTGAAGTTTGGAATAATTAACCCTCGGCGCGCATGCGCAGCGAGGGTTACTGTAGTTGGTCTGTGTGTGTCCGCGACTATTCTCGCACTACAGGCTATGAGGCGGCCTAAGAGCGATACCAAACGCTTCAGTGCTACGCGAACCTGAAAAATAAAAACGGTGATTTTCCTGAAACGACTGCGTTCGAGAGCGACAAACTGGCACGGTCGCGGACCGAGTTCCGTGACCCAACCCATCATTAAGCGGTGCGCATGCGTAGACGCGATCAACGCGGTATATGCTGGCTCCTCGTCGTACGTATATACCTCGACCTGATCCGTTGCCACAGCGAATCGACTCCCGCATGCTATCTACTACCGTAGCTAGCCCGTGTCAGATTCTCCGCGAGCTACTAGCGGGAGACCGCGGGTAAACGCCAATAGGGCTAGCCCAGCCATCTGCATTAGCGATACCGCTCATGCGCAGTTCGCCGAGGGTTTGCGTGTAACAGATCGAGTAAATGCACTAAGGGGATTGCCCTTTTATCTGCCCAGCCACTGCGGATTGATGGTTAGGTGAATCTGGGGTAACTGGATATTAGCATACTCTTGCTGGGGTTTTTAATATACAGCGAAAGACTCAGATCCTGCTGGAGAAGAGTATATAATTATTGTCATTGGCCAAGTAGACGCTAGACTAAAATATCAGCAAAGAAGATTTTTAAAGAACATTGGTATTCAGTGTTTGAAGTAGTCATATGGGAGAGGGGTTAAGTCCTTTTTACCATTGTCTAGTTTACAAGAGGATTCACTGAACCGGTATACGTTTGATGATGCTGTGATCTAGGCATTCTGGAGCACTCGTCTACTGTCCATCCTAAAGTAACAGTGTTTTGGTCTCGTTGCTACTCACTTGGTGTTCCTTCACCACCCCTCTTCCCCCTTGTGACAGGCATGGCACAAAATACATATGCTGTGACCTGCGCAGAATACATCACTAGTCCAGCAGTTCTGCATAATTAAAATACATATTATAAAGGAACAATAATAAGAAATGGAAATGTCATCTCTTACTTTGAAATGTTGCTCCCTGTCTTGTGTGAACTACGAGAGGCTTGTAACTATAATACAGCTAGCATGTAAAAACTTTCACGGTGGCTAGTTTGCGTAAAGGCTTGTATCTATGGAAACCTATGCCTAGCATGGGCTTTATATAATAATATGCTGGCTGTATGCTAAATATGAGTAGCGTGTGCTAATCGTGGCTAGTGTCCTAAAGTTTTGCTGAATGCTAAAAAGCTTAATCTTGTCCAGCATGGTAAGCATGTTTATAGATGAACCATAAAAAACACCAGCCTTTAAAAGCTTATAATCAAGGCTAGTAGTATGGTAAAAGTACATCATGTGATGGCTTGTATTCCATAATCGTGGCTATAGTGATAGGAAGAGACTGGCTTGTATAGATGGATTGGATTGGATTGGGATTGGATAAAGTGGATTGGAATGGATAAAGTGGATCCGATTGGATAAAGTGGATCGGATTGGATAAAGTGGATCGGATTGGATTAAAGTGGATTTGGATTGGGATATTTTGGATTGAAAATGTGCATGCTGATGTGAGAGAGTTTGGTTGGTTTGCTAATTGCTTTTGGTTGGCTTAGTTTTAATAGCTGTTTTCACACATGTTTACAACATTATGGTACATTATGTGCAGTGCCTGTTAATACACATGAAAAATTGTAAGCCATTTCCCCCTGACAGGATCTGTTTTGCAGCACCTGCTGTGAACCTGTGAACCGCAAGAGAATCGCAGTCTCGCTTGACATGAAAGATCTCATGGCCAAAATGAAATCGACATTACATCATTCTTGTACAAAAAACAGTGACACACACAATGTCTCCAACTGTTTTGAGAGTTGAAATGTTGTGTATTATGACACAAAAAGTGCATGAAACTATACAACAACACACTCTTCAACACTATCGAGTCTGCCAAACAGCCCAAATCCACCCATTATGATGATCTTGTCGGGTGATGTATTGGCTACTAAACACCATTTCTTACCACTAGTCATAGAGCCAATCTTCACCCACTGTCCACCCACTAGCTGGTGAATGGACTTGACCCAATCTCCCCCTCCACCAATGAGTACTAGCTGTCCACAGAGAGTGGCAGCTGTTGAGCTTGTCACTGGTAGAGGAGGGAGAGGTTTCCAGGATAGGGTGAGAGGTGGTGTGATTGGTTTAGAACAAGAGTAGCCATTAGCATCAACTCCTATCACATTCAGCTGATCACCACACATTGTGGCAGAAGGGAAGTCGAGAGGTTGTGGTAAGTCTTTTAGTTGGTGCCATTGTATGCTCTTCACTTGAAACAGTTGAACTGTAGCAGTCCAACCAACACCAAGAGACCCCCCAATCACGATGAGGTATTCACCATCAGATGTAGTAACTACAGCAGGAAAGGAACGTGCAGCCTTCATTGGAGGGTATTTCTCAACCCATTTCCCCTGTTGTAGTGTGTATAGTTTGTTAGTATGACGATATCCATCATCCCGTCCCCCCACAACAGTTAGTTCCCTGTCAATCATGACTAGTCCAGAGTTATTATATGGACATGAAGGAAGTTCCTCCCATTTCTCTGTACTACATTCATATTGGAAGACTGAGTCGGAGCAATCTGGGCTGAAGTATGCAAATCGACCATCAGTTGTTGCAGATCCTCTCTTGATTCCACATGGTGCTGTCTTCTTACGATGACACTGCACAGTGAGCTGAGGGGAGATCACATGACATGTAATGACATCATAATCATCAAATCTGGACCTCAGAATGTAACACTATGTAATAGTTAATGTACGGAAGTCAGTGCTGTGTGCGTAATAATGGTACGAGGGGCGTGGTCGAGATAGTCATACAGCACGAGGCGCAGCCGAGTTGCTGTATGACTATCTCGACCCACGTTAATTCCGAGTACCATTATTACGCACACAGCACTGACTTCCGTACATTAACTATTACATAGTGTTACATTCTGAGGTCCAGATTTGATGATTATGATGTCATTACATGTCATGTGATCTCCCCTCAGCTCACTGTGCAGTGTCATCGTAAGAAGACAGCACCATGTGGAATGAAGAGAGGATCTGCAACAACTGATGGTCGATTTGCATACTTCAGCCCAGATTGCTCCGACTCAGTCTTCCAATATGAATGTAGTACAGAGAAATGGGAGGAACTTCCTTCATGTCCATATAATAACTCTGGACTAGTCATGATTGACAGGGAACTAACTGTTGTGGGGGGACGGGATGATGGATATCGTCATACTAACAAACTATACACACTACAACAGGGGAAATGGGTTGAGAAATACCCTCCAATGAAGGCTGCACGTGCTTCCGTACATTAAGTAAGCCTTGTGGGGATGAATCTCATTAGTTCAAAATCACAAGTGCTGCGCTCAACTTTGCCTTTATAAACTCGTGATGCCAGAGAGAGAAGTTGCGGTATGCTTTGCTGATGAGGGCTAACAAGCCCGAAACAGCTGTCCAGAGCTCCACATCTTTTTTCTCTTGGCATCACATGGTCTATTGTACAGTTTGCACATGTGTCATGCAAATTGATTGGGCGTAAATAATAATTATCGATTGCAGGCTAGGCAGCCAGGCTCACAATTCACCCTCCATACATTCTCTATGGGAGAGAAAACAAGTGTGCGACTTCTCTCTGTCTCTTGTCTCTATGTGTGGCACAACCAGCCTTGCGCATGGCAACGCTCATCTCTTTCAGTGACTCTGGCTGAGTCTCAAATCTGATTATTTTCAACGTGCATACACATTTTATACCAATCAAACCATAAGATTACGTAATGAAGAAAAGCACTGAAGTGCAAAACCTCGCGCATTGTGACGCGCACGCGTAAGTAAACGCATGCGCCGTAGCACTAATTGATGGGCTGGGTTTAGTTTTAGCTGTTACTCGTGGTCTCCTGCCAGCTCGCGCAGAGTCTGACGCGGGCTAACTACACTACTAGACAGCATGCGAGAGGCGGTACACGCCCTGCGTTGCATCTTCTGGTGCCTCCGAGGTACGCAGAGCACGCGGGCCGATCATGCCGTAGTAAGCCGTAGTAAGCCGTAGTAAGCCGTAGTAAGCCGTAGTAAGCCGTAGTAAGCCGTAGTAAGCCGTTGTGTATTTGCATATTGGATTTTTCACGCTCTAGCTTTGCAACGGAGCGTTTTCAGAGAAAACCGTGGCCTTCATTGCCCGTTCAGTAGGTGGTATCCTTTGTGAGACGAACTATCACTTGAGAAGTGAGATGACGAGTAACAGACAGACAGACACACAGAAGGACAGACAGACAGACCCAACACCGTAACTCTCGCTGCGCATGCGCGCCGAGGGTTTAAAATTGGTAATAGACAGGGCAATCCGAACGCGTTATCATGCTGTGGTAAGCCATCCCGCCCGTTGTGCATATTGGCTTTTTCGTGCTCTAGCTCTGCAACGGAGCAGTTTCAGAGAAAACCGCTCATAATTCTGACCTTCGTTGCCCGTTAAGTAGGTCGTATCCTTTGTGAGACGAACAAACACCCGTGAAGTGAGATGTAGTGTAACAGACAGAGAGATCAGAGTAGACAGACCCAACTACAGTACCCTCGCTGCGCATGCGCGCCGACGGTAAATAACTCTACGTACATACAGTACGGGTGTATGGTACGTGTGGCCAGTTTAGAGCATGCATTCACAGACCTTTGCGACGCATGGGCCAAACCCACTTTTTAATTGGGCGAGCGGAGGGAGCCTACCTAGTCGTGTCTTCGGCTCGAATTTTCTATATACTAGTGGAAATGCTTGGCATTCTTTGGGCGAGTGGAGCGAGCCTTAAGTGTACTGTAGCGCAAGTATATACAACCATCATGATTACTATAATATTAGCTACGTATACCTACAGGTAAAAATGTTTCAGCAAGTAACAGAAGGTTTTGTGGTGTTGTTTGTCATATTATTATGTTGCAGTGTAGTCCTACGTCTTGGCCGCTCTCCATCTCTTAATCGTCACTGGAAAAAGTGTCGTGAGGACTTTCGACGGCCGGGCATTCTGTCTTTGAACTGAAGCAGTGTCGTTGCCTTGCCCGCTCTCGATCTCGCAATCGTCACCGAAAAAGACGAGCCTCTCTGTCGTGAGGATTTTCGACGGCCGGGCGTTCTGTATGTCTACCTCTGTGAACAGAAGCAGTGAGTATGGTTGCTGGACGTGAACTGAACTGCCGGGCCCCGCCCAATTGCGTAATATCGGCGCATGCACATAACAACGACGGAAGGTGTATACTGTACTAGTGGAAATGTTGAACATTGTTGGCGAGCGGGAGCGACCCAACTTGGGATTGTTAGGACTGCATAACCTTCCGGCTTTCAGAGTTGTGGTCCATGCAGCAGTATCTGCACGAGCAATCCTAGCTTATTTCCAAGTTGCACCTTCGAACCATGAAGATTGGGAAGCGGTACAGCCTCGGTCAGTGACCGAAGGTTGCAGCGGATGCCGTCGAATGGAGGAGAGTTCTCTGGCTGGCTAAATCGATCAGCGCATAATTATCGCGAGAGGCAGCGTGTGTGAAAATGTGTAAAAATTTAAAGAACCGCGTAAGAAGCCGCGCATGCGCACTTACACGACGTACCAACGGACGATAAATAAGAAAAATCGGCCCGTTGCGACAACTCGCCAATAAATGTATATATAGAAAATTCTAGAAACCACTAGGGGGGCTCGCTCCGCTCGCCCAATAATTAACCCTCGGCGCGCATGCGTAGCGAGGGTTACAGTCTGTATTTCTGTCTGTCTGTCTGTCCACAACTATTCTTGCACTACAGGCTACGAGGCGGCCTACCAAATGCTTCAGTGTTACAAGCGCATGAAAATTTTTCTGAAACGACAGCATTGGTTAGAGCAATTGCTCAGGTGTTTCAGAGGCTCTTATATTTGCTTTATTCAATTTATCCGCTCTTCTATGCTCCAATGCTCTCGCCAGATGTTTTATAGATGGGAAGTGTTATGTTTTTCACTTAAGGTAAGTGTTGGTATTATGAGTCAGGGGGTATTATGGGTAAATATTCCAAAAAGCTGCCAAACACTGTGTAACTGCTTCCTACCGTCGGGACGTTAGCCCAGCAAATCTTCGCCACATTTTGACACGTGCTGCGGGTTACATTCCGACAAAATAGCCAAAAGTCAAGAGGTCACAATGATTGCATCACTGACTCAAAGGGTTTAATTTGGGGGAGGTTTTAAATGAATGTTTTGGTCAAATTACGATTAATTTGTGGTTTTTTGCTTTTTTGTATATCTAAGTAATTATTGTGAAACACGACTGGGCAACTGCTTGCTTCATCAAAGAATACGCTTTAAGTCGACTCATAATACCATCACTGACTCATAATTGCTGCTTTTAGAGGGTTATAAAACAAATATTTTGCATTACCTACTATGAATATATTCTGAAACCGATTTGATTTTTAGAATCACCATGTCTTGATAGTCATGTAACATAAATTTCACTTTAATTCACCGGTATTTGGAGGAAAAATTAAGAAGAAAGTTTAAGTGGCTCAAAATACCAACATCTACCTACATTATAAGCATGCGTGTTAATTTTTGTGACGTCATGTCATCCTATATAAGACCTAGGAATTTCCTGTTATAGTCAGTCGTGATCACTATTCCTATAATGTATGAGCTCAGTAAAGATATATATTTTTCTGGAGCTTTTTGGTGATCCCGGTTCGAGCGTGCTAAGCAACTCTTCAGAGTAACTACATAACAATTGGCGACGAGGATAGACACGCGGTGTCAACCGAGGAAGGAGGAAAAGCAGCCCGACCTCCTGCGCCCGTCGTCGTGCCGCCAGCCGTCTCGCTCTCAGCTGTGGGACTCCATGGTGCAGTCGTTCCGTTCAACCCAGACCAAGACGATTGGAGTGAATACGTCGAATGTTTGGAACATTATTTTGCAGCGAACGACATCGTGTCAGCCGACAAGCAGCGCGCAATCCTGCTCAGTGCCGTAGGACCGTCGACCTACCGCCTCATCCGCACGTTGGTATCTCCCGACAAGGTCACAGACTTTACCTTCAGTGTTCTAGTGCAGAAGGCTCGAGCGCACTTCAACCCGAAGCCATCACCGATTGTAAAACGGTATGAGTTTAACACTAGACGCCAGGGTGGAAACGAAGCTGTAGCCACATACGTAGCCGAACTGCGTAAAATAGCAGAGTTCTATGACTATGGCCCTGTACTCAGCGACATGCTGCGTGACCGTCTTGTTTGCGGGATACACAACAAAGTCATACAGCGACGCCTACTCCAAGAGACCGCCCTCACATTTGATAAAGCTCTGGGGATAGCCCTGTCGGCGGAAGCAGCGGACAAAGACTCGAAGAGGCTCACAGGTGGTACTCAAGATAAGGATCTACCCGCCCCTATAGAGCATGTGAAAGACCGCCCCAATCCCAAGCACACTGGGAAAGGCAACCGCTACAGCAAGACTAACAAACCACAACAACCACGACAGCAGAGTTCCCAGAACTCAGGGAAACAGGAGTGCTACAGATGTGGGGGTCAGCATAGCTCTTCTGATTGTCCGTTCAAACACCATGAGTGTCATTATTGCAAAAAAAGAGGACACTTTGGCCAAGGTCTGCAGGCAAAATAAGAAAGACAGTTCCAGTCATGAGCAAGCAAACTTCGTTGAAGACGAAGGGGACAGTGAATATGGCATGTTTCATGTGGGCTCGGGCCAAACAAGACCTCTCTATGCTACCGTCACAGTCAATGGTAATCCTCTCTCGATGGAGGTGGACACTGGTGCATCCGTCTCAATTACCAGTCTTGAAACGTTCAAGACCATCCAGAACGGCGAATCTACGCTTCAACTTGAAGAGTCTACCGTGAAACTCCAGACCTACACCGGTGAGTCGATCTGAATCTCTGGCTCGACCAAGGTCCAAGTGGCACACAATGGTCAAACCCTGTCACTGCCACTGATTGTTACCGAAGGCAAGGGCCCTACCTTGCTAGGCCGAAACTGGTTGGAAGCGCTACGGTTAGACTGGAGGACGATTTTCACGATAGGGAGCAACCACACACTACAGTCAGTTCTGGAGGAGCACGCCGACGTGTTCAAAGACGAATTGGGGAAGCTGCAAGGAGTCGAAGCGAAGATCTATGTCGAGGAAGGCGCCCGTCCAAGGTTCGAGAAGTCCCGACCTGTCCCTTTCGCCATCCGCGAGAAGGTGGAGAAAGAACTCAACAGACTCCAGGCACTTGGTGTCATTCAGCCAGTCAGATTCTCTGACTGGGCGGCCCCAATAGTACCTGTCCTAAAGGGTGACGGTAGAGTGAGAATCTGTGGGGACTATAAGGTCACAATCAATCGTGCGGCAAGGTTGGAGAAGTACCCCATCCCTCGTATCGAGGAGCTGTTCACGTCTCTTGCAGGGGGCAAAACATTTTCGAAATTGGATCTGTCGCACGCCTACCTTCAAGTCCCGCTAGACGAAGCTTCACGGCAACTTGTCACCATCAACACTCATAAGGGACTGTTCGAATATCAACGACTTCCCTTCGGCATCGCCTCAGCACCTTCAATCTTCCAGAGGGTCATGGAGAATCTTCTGCAACGAATCCCGAGAGTCTGTGTTTACCTCGATGACATTCTGATTACGGGTTCAACGGAGGAGGAGCACTTGGCAAACCTAGCTCAAGTTCTGACCAGACTAGGGAACGCAGGCATGAGGCTAAAACGCGAGAAATGTGCCTTCATGCTTGACAGTGTATCCTACCTCGGCCATGTAATCAGCAGCGAAGGCTCAGTACTGGAGACTTGAAGGTGAAAGCTATCATCGACGCACCAGACCCCAAGGATCTCTCAGAGCTACGCTCATTCTTGGGCATGGTAAACTACTACGGGAAGTTTCTGCCGAATCTCGCGACTACGTTGTCTCCACTCTATCGTCTACTACGACAGTCTTCAGTCTGGCACTGGGGACCAAAGCAGAAAAAGGCTTTTCACACCGTGTCAAGAAGCTGCTGCTATCCAACCGAGTTCTTACGCATTTCGATGATCAGTTGCCACTTCTACTCGAATGCGACGCCTCGCCCTATGGTTTAGGTGCAGTACTCTCTCACCGAATGTCCGATGGAACGGAGAGACCAGTGTGCTTTGCTTCTCGCACATTGACTAAAGCGGAACAGAACTACTCACACCTAGACAAGGAGGCGCTAGCCATAGTTTTCGGAGTGAAGAAATACCATCAGTATTTATACGGTCGACAATTCGAGATCAAAACTGATCACAAACCTCTTACTCATATTTTCCACGAGTCCAAAGGAATTCCATCGATGGCCTCTGGCCGCATCCAGCGGTGGGCTTTACTGCTGGCCGCCTAGGACTACCGCATCCAATATCGGCAGGGTAAAGCAAACGCAAACGCTGATGCCCTGAGCCGTCTCCCTCTACCTTCACCGAACGTTCACACTCCACAGCCTGCGGAGCTGATCCACCTCATGGAACACTCTCTGCAACATCTCTCTGCAACACCTCTCTCGAGTGCCCAGATTAAGGCATGGACTGACAGTGATCCGACTCTCTCTCTAGTCCGTCGTTGGGTCCAGGAAGGGTGGCTTGAACAAGAGCCCGAGTCAGAGTCCAGGGAGGGGCTGTTACCATATTTCAGGAGGAGGTTGGAATTGGGAGTTGAGGGGGGTTGTGTGTTATGGGGATGCCGTGTGGTCGTGCCTACCGTGGGAAGAGATCTCGCACTACAGATGATTCACGAAGCCCATCCCGGGATCGCAAGAATGAAATCACTGGCAAGGAGTTATATCTGGTGGCCGGGAATGGACAAAGATATTGAAAGATATGTGAAGAAGTGTCCAGTCTGTCAGTCTTCTCGGAAGGATCCACCAGTTGCTCCAGCACACCCTTGGCCAGTGCCCGACAAGCCGTGGACAAGACTCCACATTGACTATGCGGGACCACTAGAAGGCAAAATGTTCTTGCTGATCACGGACGCTCATTCGAGATGGATGGAAATCCATGCAACCAACACATCGACTTCGTCTGCAACGATCGAGTTACTCAGAAAGTCCTTCGCTTCTCTGGGTCTGCCTGAGGTGGTCGTGTCAGACAACGCGACAGCTTTCACTAGCAGCGAGTTCAGTGATTTCCTTAAGAGGAACGGAATCCGACACATCCTCACACCGCCATACCATCCAGCCTCTAACAGATTGGTGGAATGTTCAGTCCAGACATTCAAGGAAGGGCTGAAACGACTGAAGGAAGGTTCACTGAACACCCGACTATCACGGTTTCTGTTTAAGTACCGTCTGACACCACACAGTTCAACAGGTGTCTCTCCAGCAGAGATGATGTTTGGAAGAAAGATCGACCGCATGTTGGCTTTTTCGCTTGTTTTGACGCCATCTCTCTGGAACACAGTCGTTTGAGGAAAATCGCCACATCAATATCAATCTTCTCGTTGTTAACAACCCATTGGTACCATCATTGGCCGCCCCGTAGCCCGTAGTGCAAGAACTCGCGTGGACAGACAGACAAACAGACCAAGTACCGTAACCCTCGCTGCGCATGTGCGCCGAGGGTTAAGCAAACCCTCGGCGAACTGCGCATGCGCATTGATGTGTTTACGTATCCGTCCGTCCGTCTGTCTGGGTAGTTAACTAACGAGGCATGGACAAACAGCCAGCCAGGTTGTGATCCCGGATACCTAGCTACCTATCTCACGAAAGAGACTATGACCTAAATTCACTTTGTGGCAGAGCGGGGGCTCTATCTGTTAAAGATTATGCTCGTATGGGTCTGTGATGCTCTACAGAGTCAGAGCGGGGGCTCTAGCTTTCACCTTGAGAGATTATCCAGACTTGTGAACTGCAGAAAGTTATGTGTGATTATTTTTTGTTTGTTGTTTGTGCCATCCCTAATGGGCAGTGCTGAATGAACTTTGAACTTTGTTTACGCGTGGTCTCCCGCGCGGAGAGTCTGACACGGGCTAGTTACAGTAGTAGATAGCATGCGGGAGTCTATACATGCCATTCCTTATGACTTTCTGAGCCCCAAGGTACACAGGAGTGAGCGGATCAGGTCGCGGTAAGCCCAGTGATTATCACATGCCAATAATCAATACCCATGCGCACCACTAATGGATGGGTTGGGCCACGCTACGTGTCTGGGCCAGTTTCTCTCGCTCGACAACTACCCTGTGTTACGGGGAAACTCGTGTTACTGGTTCCGTCGTCCGCCAGCAAACAGCGATACTACAACTTGCGCGTTTAGCGCCGAGGGTTTGCACTTTAGTGCTTTTCATATAATTATACTAGTAGGCGAATGCATGGCATTTTTGGCAGAGCGGGAGCGAGCAACACGAGTGACTGTATCTGTACGAGCCTATTTACAACTTCAACCTTAGAACCACGAAGATTAGAAAGGGGTATATACAGCCTCGGTCAGGTATCGAAGCATATATAAGTGTATGTCTCTACCGTCTGTGTGCAGATGATTGAGTGTGACCTGTTCAGTAGTTGTTGTGTGTTGGGCCGCGGTCCCTTGTCACGAAACGTTCAGTTAGGCTAGCACATAACAGACGACGAAGGGCATCTTCTCTGGACTGATTCAGGCATGATTGCAGCTACACACATGCACGACATTATGACAGGCAGGCAGCATGTGAATTCTTTTCGGATAAAAAGAAATGCGTAATCCTAGAGCATGCGCAGTTGGACGACGTATGGTCGTCGATATATATATATATTAGGAAAATTCGCGGCGTTCGTATACCTCCCACTCACCAACTAGTGGAATATTGAACATTGTTGCGACGGGAGTGATCCAACTTGGTCGCATGCATAACGTGCCGTCAGCGCACAACTTACCTTTTCGTGAAGCAGATCTACCTGTTTTGCCGTTAGATGCGTATTGTAACATTGGCAGAAATGTTGAGCAAGTGGGGCAGAACGGTACTTACCGTCACATCGTCAGTCGTGGTCCCCCAGGCACCAGCAGTATCGCACGAGCAATCCTAGCAGTTGCACTTTCGAACCATGAAGATTTGGAAGCTGTACACCTCGGTTAGTCACCGAAGGTTGCAGCGCATGCCGTCCAATGGAGGAGAGTTCTCTGGCTAGATCGTCAGCGCGTATCGCGAGAGGGAGCGGTGTACGTGTGAAAGTGTGTAAAAATTTAGAAATATTTCGGATAAAAGAAGAAACTAGTGGAAATGTTGAACATTTTTTGCGGACCCAACTTGGGATTTGCCCGCGATGTTTCGGGCTGTATAACGTACCGTCAGCGCAGAGCTCCTTTCGTGAAGCAAGACAGTCGCCGTTACATCGTACTGTACATTGGCAGAACGGTGAGCAGGTGAGCAGAAATGGTACTTACCTTACCTTTCAGCTCGTCGGTCGTGGTCCACAGGCAGCTGACATGCAGCGTATGTACACAGCAATCCAAGCGTATTTGCAAGTTGCAACTCTCGAACCATGAAGATTGGGAAAGTACAGCCTCGGTAGTCACCGAAGGTTTGCAGCGCATGCCGTCGAATGGAGGAGATCTCTCGCTGGCTAGATCGATCGGCGCATAATCGCCAGGCACCGCGCAATGTGTAAACATTTGGAATAAAAAGAAGCGCGTACAAAGCCGCGCCAATAATTAGCGAGCGGGAGCGAGCTAACCTAGTGGTCCAAACGGTGCGATTTTCTATATACGACCGACCGTTCGTACGTCGTGCAAGTGCTACACGCTAGCTTGATGCCGGCCAGGGAGAGAACTCTCGTCCATTCAGCGGAATTCGCTGCACTCTTGGCCTTACGAGGCTTCCAATCTTCGTGGTTCCAAGCTGCAAGTTGTAAGTAGCCTAGTTTGGCTCGTGCGGATATAATCATTGTGTGCTCGCTCCCGCTCGCCTAAAATGCCGTGCATTCGCCTACTAGTATACAACACACCATGTTCTCTCGCTGGATAGATCGATCGGCGCATATCGCGAGGCACCGCGTGTGATGTGTAAACATTTGGAAATAATTAACTTACGCGACGTACCAACGTACCGAATATTCCGCCCCGAACGAAAGGCTCGCCAAAATTATACGACGCACCGTACTTCGTGTTAGTGCGCATGCGTTAATATTACGCGCTTCGACATACTGTGCGGAATTTTTTCTCCATCCTCTTACAGTCCGTTCGAAGGAGATGGATTCTTCCGCGGAGGATAGTGTTCTTCGTCAAAGAAAACCAGACAGAAAATCGTGTCTTAGGCTCGAATTTTCTATCTATGCACCACCGTCGAAAGTCCTCACGACAGACGCTCGCTTCTTTTTCAGGGACGATTGCGAGATATAGAGCTGCAAGGCAACGATACTGCGTATCTGGTCCCAGGACAGGACGCCCGGACCGTCGAAAGTACCACAGACGACAGAGAGAGGCTCGTCTTTTTCAGTCGGACAGAGAGGCTTGTCTCTTTCAGCGGCGATGGGGCGACGCGGCGACATGACCTTCCGTTGCGACTTCTTCTGGCCTCAGTTTCACTAGCGACGTATGCCGCCAGCTGGGCCTTATATGAAATGCACACCATAATAAAGCTTATGTTTACTGCTGGAAAACCTTTTTACCTGTAGGTACGTAGATATATTATCACTAGTAATGATGATGGCTGTATAATTATACTTGAGTTCTCGCTCCGCTCGCCCAAAGAATGCCAAGCATTTCCACTAGTAATTAAAGTGCAAACCCTCGGTGAACTGCGCATGCGCGGTACCACTAATTGATGGGTTGGGCTTTTTATGCCAACTCGTGGTATCTCGCTAGTAGCTCACGGAGAGTCTGGCACGGGCTAGCTACAGTAGTAAATAGCATGCGGGAGTCGATACATGCCCTTCGTTGTGACTTCTTGTGCCTTCAAGATACACAGAGCGAGCGGACGTGGTCGAGCTAAGCCTGCGTGCTAATTTGCATATTGGCTCGTTCACTTGCTTTTCATGCCATTACTTTCGAACGCAGCAGTTTTACCGAAATCGCATTTTAAAAATAAGGCCAGTGTGGCACTGAACCCATTGGTATCGCTTTTGGGCGTCTTGTTGCGTGTAGCGGGAGAAAACGTGGTAACAGACGGACAGACAGACAGGCGGACAAACCAAGTACTATAACCCTCGCTGCGCGTGCGCGCCGAAGTTTAATTATGGTTGTGTGTCTACCGTAGAAGGCAGAGAACACAACTGCACATATAATTGCGATGGAACCATTTTGTGCCATGTGCCAAGTTGTGCACTGGTATTCATTCTCTCCCATAGTGTATGTATGTGCACTTGTATCCCGTATGAATATGCCATACAACCAGACACCAACACAATCCGTAAATTTCGAGGCATTTCTAAAGGCCTCATGATACTCTACCACAACAGTATCAATGTTAATGTTTCATACCTTTCGTCGTTTAACAACTGGTGTGGCATGGGGTACCGCTGTTGCTAGGTGAGCAGGCTGGGTCTGACAAAAGAGGGTGGAAACACAGAGCAATATTCACCACTATGATTCATAGCCAATATAGAATTGTTAAGTTCTTAAAGGCCTTACAACACTCCACCACAGATGGTACAAGAAACATTAATGTTGCATACCTTTCGTCGCATAAATGCAGGTAGTATGGAATGGGTACAGCTGTTGCTGCAGGCTGGGTACGAGAAAAACCAATATTCACGAATACGATTCATAGCCAACCAATAAAGAATGGTTTACCTTTGTTCTCTGAGTCTCAGAGTCTCTCTGGGCCTTCTGGAAGTCAGCCACTAGAGCCTCACTTGATCGCAGCTGTTCCTCCTGCAGTCAGGAGGACCTCTAGTCACAAAACATGACACATCCTGCAGTTATCACTATTCACCTTCTGTCTCAGTTGCTGCTGAGTCTCAGCTAACTCTCTCTCCTTCCTTGTTAGCTCATCTCTCACTGTCTGCTTCTCTCTTAGCTCCCTGTCCTTGGCCTGCACTAACTCAGTCTCCTGCAGTCAGGAGGACCTCTAGTCACAAAACATGACACATCCTGCAGTTATCACTATTCACCTTCTGTCTCAGCTGCTGCTGAGTCTCAGTTAATTCTCCCTCCTTCCTTGTTAGCTCATCTCTCACTGTCTGCTTCTCTTTTAGCTCCCTGTCCTTGGCCTGCACTAACTCAGTCTCCTGCAGTCAGGAGGACCTCGTTACAGTTCCACACACAGACTTGACTAACTCTCTGTCTCAGTTCTTGATTCTGTCTCTGTGAGCTGATCAGCTGTTGTCTGACTGTCTGTTTCTCTCTCTCACTGGATTCTAGTTGTTGTTGGAGCTCCTGTAGCACATTTAATCCTTCCTCTGGATATAGTACTGATATAAAGTCCCTCACCTGGTTCCTGGATTGCATTTGTTGTCTGACTGTCTGTTTCTCTCTCTCACTGGATTCTAGTTGTTGTTGGAGCTCCCGGTCCTTGGCCTGCACTAACGCATTCTCCTGCAGTCAGTAGGACCTCGTTACCATGCCATTAGTTCCACAGACCTTGCCTTAACTCCTCTGTCTTCGTTCTTCTTGAGTCTGTCTCTGTGAGCTGATCAGATAAACAACATAGACAGACTGTGTATATAGATATCGGCGAGGGAGTTAAGGTAGGAGGGGTGGTTACGGAAGTTGAAGGGCGGTGCTGGGGGGAGAAAATGAGACGAAGGGTGGGCCGATTTGTGGGTGGTGGCGTGGGGGAGGAGAGGGAGTGAGTTGTGGTGGAAGTGGAGTGTTCTGTGGGTAGAAGAGGTAGTGCGGGGGGGTGGGGTCAGGGTTTGGGGGGAGGGGGGAGTAAGGGGCGAGGGGAGACTCGGTGGGGATAGGAGGTAATAAGGGGAGGAGGAATAGTTTGGGGAGTAGTCTTTGGCGGGTAAGAAGGGGGTACTAGGTAGTGTAGAGAGGGGGGGTGGCTTGTCGCGGGGGAGAGGAGGTGGGGGGGAGGGAGATGGGGGGGGGGTGGGGATTGAGGGAAGACGGGAAGTGTGTGGGGGGGGCTGGGGATTGAGAGGGGGTGGAGGGGGGTGGAACGGATGCGGGAAATGTGGGGTGGAGTAAGAGGGGTGTGGATAATTTGTGGATGGGGGAGCTCCACTAGTGAGAGTTGGGGAGTTGCGGACTTGAGAGGAAGTCACAGTTTGTTGGAACAATGGTGGGGAGGGCGGGACTTTTGTTTGTACTGTCTGGCTTTTTCTCTCTCTCACCCACGTATTCTAGTTGTTGTTGGAGCCCTGTAGCACATTTCATTTAATCCTTCCTCTGGATAAGTACTGAAATAAAGTCCCTGGGTCCC